AACCATTTATTGTGTACCCACTGTGCACTAGGCTAAGTGCTAAGCACTTCAGCTATGCCATTGCATGTCATCTCCACAACAACTCTTTGATGTAGAAAATATTTTCCCGTTTACAGGTAAGGCAAGAGGCTTACTGTTTTCCTACAGTAGTATTTTCCTTCGTTCTGAAGAACTTTTGCCTTCTTTTTAGAGTATGTCTGCAGGTGACAAATTCTCTTAGTTCCCTTTCATCTGAGAATGTCTCTTTTTTTGCATTCACTTTTGAAGGATATTTTTGCCAGACCTAGAAGTCTGGGTTGACGGCACTGAAAGATGTCATTCCACTATCCTCTGTCTTTCATGGTTTCTGACGAGAAATCTGTGGTAAGACTTCTTGTTCCCCTAGATATAATGTGCCATTTTTATGTAGATTAAAAAGTATTTTTTTATTATTCTTTATAGTGGATCATTTCTATTAATTTATCTTCAAGTTGTTGACTCTTTTTCCCCCCCTCTCCTCTTTGCCATGGAGTTTATCGATAATTTTTAAAAATGTAAATGTAGTATTTTTCAGTTCTAAAATTTCCATTGGTTCTGTTTTCATAGTTTCTATTTTGTGCTAAGAAACTTTAATTCACTTCAAATGTGTTTACCTCTATCTCCTGGGACAGAGTTATACTGGGCTTCAAGATCTTTGTGGGCTAATTCCAACATCTGTGTCATCTTGGGATTGGCATCCATTGCTTTCCTTTCCCCTTGAGAACTGGCCACACTTTCCTGGTTCCTTGAATGTCAAAATAATTTTAGCTCATATCTTGGACATTTGAAATCTTCTGATGTATAGACCCTTAGTCCTGCCGAAATCCTCTGGAGAGTGTTCAGTTCTGTTTTGTTTTAGTAGAGCTCAGAATGCAATTTCTATTTCTCCAATGGTTCCAAACTTAGTTCAGTTTTCAGGCCTTTGTTTGCTGCTTTGTGTCCGTCCTGTGTATATGGCACTCAGGGGTTTGCCTGAAATTTGGGCAGTGGTTTAAATCTTACCTTAGTTCTCAAAGCCTGTGACCTGCTGCTTTGGGTCTCTCATGAGTGTGCAGCTCAAGGGAGAGCCCAGGACTTGAGAGGATTTACACACAGAGGAATCCCTTCCTCTTCCTCTCCTTCCCCCTTTATCACAGTCCCTTTTCCTGGTTCCCTCAGCCAGGAAAGTCAGGTTTCTCTTGGAGTGTTGCTGCCCATGTCATTGCGGCCGCACAGCTCCATGACGGAGGTCTGCTCTCAGGGCAAAGCCACGAGAGGAAAGAGGAGAACGTGAGGATTCCCCTTCCATACTTTCCAGCCCACTGGGTCCCTTTTCCTGCTTTCTCTGGTTAGGAAGATGGGGTTTCTACTGGAGCTCTGGCTGGTCATGCTGATGTCTCCCAGGCCCACAACCGGGGCCAACACTCAGCTCAAAGCCACGTGAGCAGACGGAGAAAACACATGGGCGACTTCTGCAAGCTTTGTCTTCCTGCTGTGATTTACCTGCTTTTGTCTCGTTTTTTGAGTCCTCTGATAGTTTTTTTATTTTTATTTTACCCAGAGTTTTTAGTTGTGATCCATGGGAGAGCCACAATAAGCTTACTCCATCATGGAAGAACCTGGAGGTCAACTTAGTTTTAACAGCATCCCCTTGGCTGTTTTCTGAGAACAGACTGAAGGAGGCGGGAGGAGCAGGGAGCCCAGTTAAAGAGGCGACAGCTGTCCAGGCAGGAGCCATGGCAGCTTGGGTCTCCTGGTGGTCACGGAGGTGGGGAAGCAGCTGGATTCTGACGCGATTTGCTGACGGATTAAATATGGGGATGTTAGAGAAATAGAGAGGCTACAGGTGATGCTAAGATTTTATTTATTTATTTCTCTTCAGCAACTAAAAGAACTGTCCATTCATATGGCAGGAGCAGCAAGGGAGGGAATAAGGCACATGAGGAGTTTGGTTCCGGACATGTTTGGTTTGAAATGCCCATTTGATATGCAGATGAAGCTGCCACTGAGCAATCTGTGTACCAGCCTGTAGTGCATGGAAGGTCTGGGTGGAGATACCAACTCAGGAGTTACTGGCATTTGGATGCCTTTTAGAGCCAGGAGACTGGGTGAGGCCACCTACGGGGTGAGGTAGAGAGGGAAGAGAAGAGACCTGATGGCTGGAGCCTGAGCAGTCCAGTGCTGGCTTATCGTCCGGCCCGAGAGGTTGGAAGCAATGCCATCCAAGTGGCATGTGTCAGTCAGGGCCCAATCAAGGGACAGTCCCACATGGTAACCTCAACAGGGGAAGTTTCATACAGACAATATTGGGGGCTGGAGTCATGAGGGGAAAAGCACTCTAAAGAGTATAGAAATGAGAGATGTAAGGACTAGCAACTAGGGCTGGATAGACGCCCCAAGGAGAAGCCCTGGCTGAGATCCAGACCTCGCTGGCGAGGGCGCAGCTGCTTCTCAGAGGGTTCCCGAGAAGTCGCTGTGCTGCCACACCAGTGGGATTTGCTGGGAACCTTCCACCCAGCACATACCAGAAACACACCTTCAGGGTGCTGGGAAAAGCTTTTCACAAGGAGGTGTCTTGTTGGAGTCACACTGCTATGCAGTTGCCCAAGAAGGGTGCTGGGGAGGCTGCTGGCTGCTGGGGCCTGAGCGCGGGACGGTGGGCACTGCAGGGATCTGCACCGGGACTGCAGAGCGCACAGCGGAAGCAAAGGCCCCTCCTTCGCACGGTCTCTCCGGTGTTTGTGGACATGCCTACCGACCAGGCATTACTTGGTGCCAGCAGGGAAGAGGAAATATCTGCAGGGGTCAGACCCCTTTGCACAGACTGGGCAATAAGGGTGGATTTGGACTGAGGCAATGAATTGATAACTGGCACAGGGCAAATGTGGGTCTGGCTGAGGGGAGGCACCGAGGCCCGAAGACAACAACCTTGATGTTGCTGTCACCTGAGGGGTGCGTGTGACTTTGCACACAGGAGATGAGGTGGGAAGTCAGGAGTCCCTGGAAGCAAGAGGGCAGGTGGCTGGTGAGTCTGGGGTCAGGCAGGCCTTAGGCTGTGAGTAGAACCCCCTAAGTTCTCAGGTTGCTGGATGAAGCCCGGGGAAGGCGGCATGCATGAAGGTGGAAGATCTGCTCACTGCTGTCTAAGGAGGACTCTCTGGGTGAGGCAGAGTGGCACACAGTCCCCCATGTGAGATATGCGCCCTGATGGGGCTCCGTCTAGGGGTCTGGTCATGACTGCACCTCAGCTGAGTCCTGCCCCCCCAACTGCGCTGCAGTCATACTCAGCCTCGGGCAGACCCCCACACTGGGCATGCTCTCTCCATCCTCTTGGCTTTTACACATGTTGTTGCCTCTACTTGAGACACTTCTTCCTTCTTAGTATGGCCAACTCATCATCCTTCCTGTCTCCTGGGGCTCCACAGCCTCCAGGGAGCACTTAATGATGCCCCAAGTCTGGGACGGGCCTCACCTCTGTGCACTGTGGCATTGGTTCTATTAACACATAACATGTATCGAGCCACAGTTGCCTGTTTGGCTGTCCATCTGTCACGTGGGACTAAAAGCTCTTTGAGGACAAGGACCAAGTCCTGTTCATGGCTGTGTCCCCGGCACCAGGCCTGGCATGCAGTGAGCCCCCATCAAGTGTTAAATGAACAAATAAAGAATGATAGGCTGAAAGTGGGATACATGGGGAGGGGAGCAGGGGTGTATGAGCTGATCATTCAGGGTTTACATGCCATGTTAAGAAATGTGAATGATTTGGAAGGCAATGGGGAGCCACTGGGGGCTATAAGCATGCTCAGTTTTCCATGTGAGAAAGGCCTCTATAGCAGCATCATGGTGAATGAGTTGGATGAGGGTAGGAGTGGGGACAGAAAAATCAGGAAGCCCCCTGAAGTGATCCCAGAGGAACTGGGTGTGGGGTGGATCTAGGGAACACGTGGAAGGGTTCAACTTGGTCAGAAGAAGGGCACCTGGAGGCGCAGGGCAATGCCTGGAGAGAAGTGGGCTGCTTGGTACTTGTTTTCAGAGCCTTTGCTATATGTCTTCTCTCCCTTGCCGAACTATGAGCCCCTCCAGAGAAGGACCTGAGCTCTCTTTTCTCAGGATCTACCCTGTGCCCAGGATACCAGCCTCTGCCAAATCCCAGGATGGAGTCTAGGATCCCCCCATCCCCAGGATGATCCAGAAGGAGAGGCCAGAGTCCCAGTGATGTTAGCTTGGCAAGTTTATTGAAAACTCAGAAACACAAAGAGCATACAAACAGGTACCTACCCCACCCTAGGCCTCCCTGGAGCTTGCAGACATAAGCCCTGCTGCAGCGGACAGGGCCAGGCCTCCCTCCCACCACCAACAGGTGTGCGGGGTGTAGCAGAGCCCACCTCTCCATGAGCACCCACACACCTCATGAGTTCACATGCCACAGAGTTAAACCAACGACCCAGGAAGAGAAGCAGCCAGGACATATGCCCCTTGGAGAAGAACAATCTCAGGGTACTAACGGATCTCCTGGGCCACCCAGGACTGTGGATCCTTCGGAGTCAGGAACAGCAGGGAAAAACCTTCTCTGCCAGGGAGAGGAAGCAAAGGGCAGTAGGCCAGCTGCAGGGTGGACAGTCAGCTTGCCATCCTGCAAAGTAATGCAAAGCCGGGGTGGTGATGCGCCCGCAGACATTCTCTTTGGCTTCGGACTGCTCCTTTGGTCCCGGGCAGATCTTTGTTGTATTGAATCTGCTGTCTTGAGGCTGTTTGGCTGGCTGGTGAGGAGTGATCCAAAGGAAGGGAATTGGGAGTCGGGAAGAAACCAGTCTGGATGGGGCTGCGGATGGAGCATCGAGGTGGAGAAAAGTATCCCCCAGAGGACACAGGCCAGGCAGAGCTGTGTCCCTTCCTGGCAGGAGGGGTAGCCCCTCCAGCCCAGAGGCCGGATGCCGAGGGGACAGAAGCAGGAGACACTGAGATGGTTCTTCCCTGGGCAGTGGCTCGCTGGCACTAGGCTCTTAGTACTTGGTCCGGCGGGAGGTGGTGGTAGACACGAAGCGGACACTGGAACTGCGGCTGCCACGGTCCCCACTGCAGCTGCTGAAGCCGCCCTCGGTGGGCAGCGGGCAGGGCACGCTGGGGGTGCAGGACTCCCTCACAAGCACTGAGCCTCCCCTGAAGCCTGTGCTCAGTAGGTCCCCGCTGCCCATGACAACCTGGGCCCCACCCAGGCTGGAGCCACAGATGCCGCCAGAATGGATGCTGCTGCCAGAGAAGGTGACTCTGCCGCGGGACAGGGTGGAGCTGGCGGCCAGGGGCTCAGGCCCACACACCATGCCACCGCGGGAGCTGCTCACAGCTGCAGGAGGAAGAGGGAGAAGCGTCCGTGAGGCTGCCTTGTCCTCATGCTCCCCTCTGTGTGGTGGGAGGCCAGGGCTGGTGGCATCACGGAAGTGGCCCTATTGTCTGCACAGTCAATACTCACTTTCCCTTTTCTTGTCTGGGTGACTCAAAGGCCATGACTCTGCTAGAGGCAAACTCTCAGAGTAAATGAAAGGATTCAGTCAACACCCCATGTTTGCGTGTGGCTATAGGTTGGTTCTCATTTGCATGTGGCCAAAGTCATGCCAGGTTTTATGGAGAGGAAAGTGAGCTGCATGGCCCAGGCAGGTGGAGCAGTAGGCTTCATAAAGGCATGAGGCTCCTTCTTCCCGTTGTATCCTGCCCCTCGGTGGTCCCCACATTGCCCCTCCGCTAAGAGTCCCTTGTCGATTCTTGTCTGGCCCACTGATGGCCCTGCTCTGTAGCTCTCTGGTTTCCACAGGGCACCCCGCCACGACCCAGGACCCTAATCCGACTCAAGCTTGCTTAGACCAGCCCTCATCCTTGGAGCCCTCTTCTTGCCTGTCCTCTGAGCAGAATCCTTGCTGACCTCCTCTCCAGCCTGACCTCCTGCCGGAAGCCATTCCTGCTGCCCACCCCCCTCGGAGGCACTGTCATCCGAGCACTTGTAGCTCTGACTGTGACCCACCCAATCTGGCACTCAGTTCTACTACACATCTGTGTCTATTTGTGCTTTTGGCGTCAGAGATCTAAGTTTGATTCTGGTCATGCCACGGACCATGTGACTTCTGGCAAACCATATATGTTCTCTGCGTGAGCAAAAGGGGGTTGCCAGCGCCCATTCCTCCCCTGGGGGTGCTTCGAGGGGCAGGCTGACAGTGGGTGAGACTCATCTTCTCAAGAAGACTATGATTCTAGAGGCAGGGACTGAGGCTCACCTTTGTGCTCACAGCTGCAGTACCAAGCATGGTGCCCTGCACGCTTTGGGCACAACACATACTTTGTCAGGAAGCAGCAGCAGCAGGGGGACTTCTGTTCAGCTGTGCCCCATCCCTGCCTTTAAGGGGGTAGGAAACTCCTCAGCAGAGGCCTACCCCTTCTCCCCTGGCTTTTGTCCCTAAAGGACAAGGCCACTCAAAACGAAGGGGCTGCCGCTGTCCTGGAACCCTCTCCCACCTAGGAGGCCCTGCAAACCTTGGCGACTGCTTACTCTGGGGCAAGCAGGCTCCGGGGAGATCTCAGACCCCTGCTAAGGGGATGCTCCCAGTCCAGGGCCAGATGTTCCCTGCTCCCCTAACTGTCCTGGCCAGCCCAGCCATGGGCTCCTGAGCCCAATGTGGGCCTGAGTTAAAAAAATTTTGAAGGGCCCAGGAGGGAAATGTGAAGAGGAAAACACTTAAGTCTCTTACATATGTTTACCGGTCCAACACCTTCGCAGATCCTGGAGAGAGAAAGAAATGAGTCAGCTAACAACAGTGGTGCTGCTCCCCAAAGGCCTGCTCGCTCTCAGAGGGCCCTCTTGGCTGGGTGGGCCAGTGGGCCAGGCTTTCACCGTAGCTGTACCAGCATCCAGAGAGCTTTGGAAAATGACATGTTCCTAGACCCTACCCCCAAACTATTTGGCAAGCTAACTAAATCTTTTTTTTTTTTTTGGTACGTGCCCCTAGCGGGAACCAAACCCAGGACTCTCTGGTCCACAGGCTGATGCTCCAACCGCTGAGCCAAACCGGCCAGGGCCAACCAAATCTTTTACACCAGCTACTAAATCAAACAGAACTCCCTATGTTTTTGGCCCAGCCTGTCTGCAAACTGGCATTTAGAAGCACAGATTTAGTCACCATCCAAACCCCTACTAGGGTCAACCCGACTCATGTTTGCGGAAAAGGCCCTTTTACTTCCGGAGGTTGCTTATTTCAGCAGGTCTTCACCTGGTCCCTCCCCCTACTTAGCGCAGATGCCCAGCTCTGACCTCAGTCTCTCTTGGTGCACCAAGAACACTCACCGGATTTCCTCGCCCTCCAGCAGGCGCCTGTAGGTGGCGATCTCGATGTCCAGGCCCAGCTTGACATTCATCAGCTCCTGGTACTCCCGCAGCTGCCTCGCCATGTCCTGCTTGGCCTGCTGCAGGGCGCCCTCCAGATCTGCCAGCTTGCATTTGGCGTCCTTGAGAGCTGCCTCACCCTGCTGCTCCGCCTCAGCCACTGCAGCCTCCAGCTTGGCTCGCTGCAGGAGGGCAGTTTGCAAGTGGGCTTTGGCAGAGACTAGAGAATCCCCAGGTGGGGCTGCAGCCTGCACCAAGCCAGGGATGGAACCCACGTGGCTGCTTTCTTAGGGACTGTGAGCCTGTCGTTTGCTGTCACCAGGGGCGAAGCATTCCTTTTCTTCAGTTTCCATTCACACTGACTGCACTTCCTGATAGCTGCTGCTCCCAGAGCCATGGGTGGGTGCAGAGGGCAAAGCTATTCTTTCTCCTTCACCTCCCCTCCAAGTTGGCCCCAGCCCTTTTCTTCTGTATGACAGGCCCTCCTTCCCTTGCACATTTTCCTCTTCTAGAAAGTCTTTCCGGACTAATCCCTTCATTCCTCCATTTTGCGTCCTGGTGGCCTCCCTCATTTCAGACTTGGGGCTCCCCACATCTCGGAGCCCTGCCTCTCCTCCTTCTGGGGCTTCCTCTGTTTCCCTTTGCCCACCTGCGCCTTGGCGTGCTCGATCTCCGCCTTCAGCCTCTGGGTCAGGCGGGTCAGCTCATTGATCTCATTCCGTGTGTTGCGCAGGTTGTCACAGTGTTGGCCAGCTGTCACCCGCATCTCCTCATACTGGGGGTGGGGACAGGGGCATGTTCTGAGGGCTCAAAGGTTGGGTCAAGACCACACTTCAGTTGGGTTGGGGGCCTCAGACCTCCATGGGGCCCACTTCATTGTACATGGGTCTCCCTCCAGGGCTTCCTATACCCTTTCCCCAGCCCGCTTCTGCCCACCTTGTTCTGGTACCAGGCCTCAGCATCAGCCCGACTGCGCCTGGCAACCTCTTCATACTGCGCCTTGATTTCGGCGATGATTCCATCCAAGTCCAGGTCCCGGCTGTTGTCCATCTTCACGATGACCGATGTCTCTGAGATGTGTGACTGCAGCAACTGGATTTCCTGTGTTGGAGGATCAGCGAGACAGATGGACTCAGAGCCCCATCGGCGGCCAGGAGGCTGCCTCGGCATCCGCAGGATGTGGTGACAGGAGCAGAGAGCATTGCTCGTTTGTTCAGGGCAAAGCAGGGGAGTAGGCCATCCAGACCAAGGGCAAAGGAAAAGACATGGCTGAGAACCATTTCCAGTTGACTTTAAACTCTTGTTAGGTACTCAGAGACATCTCTTTAACACCATGACTTGTTTAGGTGAATATTAAGGCCATGGGGGCCTAGGTTTTAGGTGAAGAGGAGTGAGAGCCACACTAGGGCTTAAACTGTTCTTTGGATTATCCACAAAGTGGCTGAGCCATTCATGGATTATTGAGTGCTGACAATATTTTAGAATGTGATGATCTAGGACTTTTTGTATCCCAAGTCTTTGACAGAACCAGGGAGCATGGAGCTGGTGTGCAAGGCGACGGGTCCGAGGGTGCTTTCTTTAGCATTTCCGCTCAGAGCCAGGCCTTCAGCTCCAGCTGTGTCTACATCAGACCAAACAGACCATTTATGAAGCAAAAGAGAGCTAGTTCATGTGGCTAATTAGGTCAAACACAACTGTTCTTACATCTCTCCGCAAATCAGTTTTCCAGAGTCTTCTGATCAATAGAAAGTGACATTCCTAGACCCCGATCTCTGGATTGGCCAAAAGGAGTTGGATCCTAGATCCAAGGAGTTTATTCATAGACCTGAGTCAGCTGCCGAGAAGTCTGCTTCCCTTCCCTTCTCCACTGGTAGATACATTGACATACAGAGGATATAGATTTGAGTGGGAGGAAAGATGTATGACACCAAATTTAGAAAATATGCCAGTCCAGGCGAAGCCCCCAGGGAGTCTAGGGGCTCAGGGGGATGAGCCCTTACCTCCATGTATAGAGTTTTCATGAAGTCGATTTCCTGAACGAGGGTGTCCATGTTGGCCTCTAGATCAGATTTATTTAAGAAAATTGAATCCACGTCCTACATAAAAGAGAGAAGAAAAAGAGGCACGTTACTTGTGCACTGTTTAACCTCCCCACCTTGGCGGAGTCTGGAGATGGGTGGAGGATCAGATCAGTCCCCACAGGGCCAGGCCAGGCTATGGGTTGGCTGGTAAAGTCACTGGGTGGAACTACAGCTCAGTGACTGTTGCTCTTCTCCTACTGCAACATAAAAACTCCCCGGGGCTGCTGGACCTGATGCTAATTTAGAGGGAAGGAGGATCTGGATAATCCAGGACTCTTACAAGGATGTCTAAATAATCTAACTAGTAACCTGAGACCAAATTAGAACTTCGAAGGGAACCTGTGTGACCTTAGGTGCTCCACTCTCAGTGGTCCGAGATGCCACAGGGCCTCCGGGGCAGTTTCCTGGGGGTCTCGAGAACATTTGCCTGCCTGAAGAAGTTTGCCTGGACCTATTGTCCTCCATTACCTTCTTCAGAGCCACAAACTCATTCTCAGCGTTGGCCCGGAATACCACCTCCTCTTCATACCTGGATGATAGGAATTGAGAGGGTGAGTTCTCATTCTGAACCGAGAACCAATGACTTCCGCCTCCCCAGTGAGCTTCTTCATACCTCTGTTCCACCCAGGAGCACAGCTTCCGGTGTTACTTACATGTTCTCAGCCACTCTGTCCCTTCATTAAGACCTTACATGAACCAGTAGCCCCCAGTTTTTCCAAATACCTTTAACTGTCTCTGGACTGCAGGCTGACGCTCTAACCACTGAGCAAACCAGCCAGGGCTAACTGTCTCAAATAAGATGTGGGGTCTGAAAATCTGGTCCATTTCTATACTTCTCCTCCTGAAAAGATTTAGCATCATTGCCTGTGACCAGAGAGGAAGTAGGACCCAACTTGTTGCTGAACCTGGGCACTGTTCTCAAAGCCAGAGGGCTCCTTTTTTCTGAGGCTAACTTATCCATTTCCACAGCCAGGATTAGGAAAAAACCATGCTCAGTTCCAAGCCTCCTTTTCCTCGGGACCCACGGAGGACCTGCTCCTTAGCACTGCCCCCTCTGTCTCTAGGACGGGCACTGGACCAGCATACAGCCCTGCTGCTTCCAGCTGCTCTCATCTGAGCTTGGCTGCTGCTCAGGGACTAGCCCGGCCTCGGTCAGTGCAGTTCAGATACCACTCACTTCTTCTTGAAACCCTCGAGGACATCCTGCACGTTGTTCCTCTCAGCCTCCAGACGGGCCCGGTCGCTGTTGGCTGCACCCAGCTGCCTCCGCAGGTTGGTGACATAACTCTCGAAGAGGGGCTCCAGGTTGCTCCTGGTACACTTCTGCTCTTTCAGGAAGTTCCACTTGGTCTCTAGAAGCTTATTCTGCTGTTCCAGGAACCGCACCTAAGTCCACAGGGGCACAGAAAGGGCAACTGAAGTGCTGGACAGAGCCACCTGCATGTCCACCAGGGCTTCAGATGGCCAGAAATGACTCTCAACACTGTGGTCACATCCTTCTCTCCTCTGTTGACTTTCATTCCTCTTCTACTTCAGTAGAACATGGAGGAGCAGGTCTGTGACCCCCTCCTGGTGCCCATCCAGGCTCAGCTACAGACAGAGGCTTCTGAACCAAAGCACTTCAGGACGGTTTCTCTCTGCCCTCTGAAAAGGGTGGAAGCCAGTTCACTGGGAAGTTAGATCGATTCTGCCTGAGCTGGGGTTTGTCTACATCTAAAAACTGATGCCGGCCATCCCTGGCAGGGAATGGGGAGCTGAGCAAAGTACATTTGGGGTGTAATATGGCATTTGGAGGTGGGACTTCTCAGGTCATAGGTCATAACCACCATCCCAGAGATTCCTTCAGCTGAGACTTATCGAGCTGGAGGAGAACTTAAAGATCATTTGCTGCAATCCCTCATTTTAGATGAGGAAACTGAAGCTCACAGAAGTCAGTTTCCAAATTCTGACACAATCAGAGTATGTCCGCTCCATGGAGACATGGTCTGTGGGATGTCAGTTTCATGTCGCTGGTCCTTCCTCAGCCTGTGACTGCCTGTGGGGGTCCCCACTATTTCCTCAATCTAGGCGACTGGGCTGAATTTGGATACCCCACATGGAGGTGTAAATTCTTTGTTTTGTACAAAAATTACTCAACTCTATTCTCCAATTTCCTAAGTCTGGTCAGATGTGGCCTCCCAGCCTCAGAAACTATGAAAACTTGAAAGACAGCATGAGGGACTGACTCAAAGGATAAAACCTTTAAGCCTGTAACAGCCACACCTGGCCGAAGTCCTACTGTTTCCAGCCTGTCTGGGAGACAGTTCTAAGTGACTAGGTCGCAGGTCTCAGTTTGTCCCGATGCCCTGAGATTTGGCTGGATCTTCCTCTTTCCTCCAGAAGACACAACCTCTTGGTTAGTCCAGCCCACCATGCAGGGCTCCTCAGGCTAGTCCTTGCTCTACAGCGGAGTGACCTGGAAATAATACTGCAATGCCTTTGGTTGACATCTAAAGGATCTGGGGGTCAAGGTCAGTGCCCTAAGCCTGGGCTATTTCTTCTTAAGGGAAAGGACATCCCAATGCATTTGAGCTCTCATTACCCCACACCCAGGAATTAAGCTGTACCTTGTCGATGAAGGAGGCAAATTTGTTGTTGAGGGTCTTGATTTGCTCCTTCTCATCTCTCTTCACCCTCTGGGCATTGGGGTCAATCTCCAGGTTGAGGGGGGTCAGCAGGCTCTGGTTAACAGTCACTGCTGTGATCGATGGGGCTGCTGGCACTCCAATTCCTCCAACTCTGTAGCCAAAGCCAGGGCGACCGAAGCCATAGCCAAGGCCACTGCTGGCGCCCAAACCCAGACTAACACCACTGCCAACCCCAAACCCTAGACCAGTACCACAACCACCACTAAAGCCAAAAGCCATTCCACTGCCAGCACCAAAGCCAACTCCACACCGGATGGGACGAGGGCCCACCGCTGCTATCCGGGGAGAGCATGATCCATAGGCAATGACGCTCCGACTACCAAAGCCGCCAAGGCCTCGGAGGCTGGACCCACTCTTGCAGGAGACAGAGCTGGTCCGGAAGCGGTTCAGGCTCTGGGGGACAACTGCTGAGCAAGAGCTAAAGTTGCCCACACGACGACTAGAGCTGACTCGGTAGGAGCGGCAGGGCATGATGGCTTCCTGGGGGAGAGCAAGAGCTGCAGAGCGTGGGCGAGCTGGAGCTGGGAGTCCCTCTGAGGCTAGTGGATCTCTCTCACCCCTTTTATGTGTGTGGGGATCTGAGGATTGGCCCCATAAAAGTGGAAAAAGCCATTTGGAGGCATTTATGAGCTTGGGTAGTTAGCAGAAACTCTTCATGCCTATAACCTCCTTAATAATGAGCTAATCTCAGACACACCTATTCTCCTTAGGATCAGGGCTATAACATCAAACCTATAAACATTAAAAACGCATAAACACATATACATTATGGTCCTATTTTTTCCCCACAAGTCCACCACAATTGCCATTATAGGGACATTAATTTGCTTTGGTCATAAATCCAATAGACTTTTGCACTGCAAGGATGGCTAATCACGAGAAAGTTAGGATGGTGAGAGCTCAAGCAAGGGGCTCACAGGGACGCATCTATATAGAAATACCCCCTAAAGAGATGGGGTGTGCAGAAGAGAGACAGATCTGCAGAGCTCATAATAAGAAATAATATGGCAAGAATACAGTTGATTGCATCTCTGTAGATAGATTAAATAGTCCAAAAACCGTTTGCAGTGTTTTATCTATCCTCTATGACCTGGTTTGGCTGTTTACATTGGAGCTCAGTCTTCAGTAAAGATCATTTGTGTCAATGTAGACAGATGCCTAATTTGAGACACTCAAAGGAGATTCATTCACTCACTCACTCACTCACTCAACAATTATCAGGTGCCTACTCTATCCCATTGAGTATGCTTAGCACTGAAGGTACAGAGATAAAAAGGATGGTCTCTGCCCTCATGGTGGTGGAGGAAGATTAATCTTGAGGATTTCTATAAATTGATACTTTTGTTGCATAATTTGAGACCGAAGCACACTGATAATTATGCCATTGATCTGTGTGGAAAGTTAGCCACTTGATTTTGAGCCCCTCCTCCCCGCCCCAATACACATGAAGGTTCATCTATAACTCTGTCTATGCAAGTCGTTGAATTATTGATGAATCTTTGGTTAGAGCAGAGAGACACAAAGCAATAAGTGTCAAGATAGAAAATGAAAAGTTCTGAGCAACTGCATATGGTTATCACTGTTATCAATATTGCAGATATCTCAGAACTCAGAGGCAGATGTTTGCCTTTTTCATTCTAGAGGATGACATGGTTTGTCTTACCTGTGCTGTGCCTGGGGGAACTTGTGCTTAATTGGACACTGGAATTTGGGGGGATGCCTGGGATTCCACTTAGAAGGGGATGTGTGCTTTTGACTGGAGTTCCTGTCTTCCTTCCCAATCTCTATACCTTTTATTTCCTTTTCTTGCCTTATTGCACTAGCTATGACTTCAGTACAATGTTGAAGAGCAGTGGTGAGTGGAGACATCTTTGCCTTATTCCTAATTTTAGTAAGAAAGCTCCAAGCTTCTCATCATTAAGCATGATGTAGCTGTTAAATTTTTGGTAGACAATCTTTATCAAGTTGAGAAAGTTTCCCTCTATTCCTAGTTTACATTTGTTTTTCATAGACCCAGTTACCAGGTGAATGTCTAATGGGAGAAGAAGCAGAAAAATAATAATAAGAGAATACTTCTTTTGAGGATTATTAGTGACCTCCATGTTGCTAAATTCAGTGCTCTGTTTTCAGAATTCATTTAACCGAACTTATCAGCAGTATTTAACAGAGTTGATCATTCCCTTTTCCTTGAAACACTTTCTTCTTTTGGTTTCCAGAGAGCATACGCTCCTGATTTTCTTGCCATATTACTGGCTGCATCTTTTCGATCTTCTTAGCAAGTTCCTCTTCATATCTCCAACCTCTAGACATTGTAGTACTCTTGCACTCAGCCCGTATACCCTTTCTCACCTTTACCTATACTCATTCCCTTGGCGAGGTCATACAGCTTCATCATGTTAAATACTATCTATCCACTGATGACGGCCAAAGGCGTATCTTTATCCTAGACTTCCCCTCTGCACTCCACATGTATTCTTTGATCAATGCCTCTATTTGGATATCAAATAAGCATCTCAACCTTATATATCCAAAACTGCTCACCCAAATGTTCCTACTACATATGTTCGCTTGCCAGGCTCACTACCCCTGCGGTAGCTCAGGCCCCAAATCTGAGAACCATCCTTCATGCCTCTGTTTTCTCCATATTCCACATTCAGTCCATTGGCAAATCCTACCTTCTTCATGTATCTGGACTCCACTCCCACTACTTCTGCCAGCATGTGAGCCCAGGCTCATCACTTCTCGCGGGGTCTATTGCCGAATCCTGCAGCCTGCCTCCCTGTGTCCACCTTTGCCCCATTCAGTCTTTTCCTAACACCAGTCAGTCATCCATGAATAACCTGTTAGCTCATGTCATTTCTATGCTCAACCCCTCTAATGGTTTCCAGTCCTACTCAGAGTAAATGACACAGCCTGCCCTTCCCTTTCACTGACGTCATCACCCTCAGCCATCCTGGCCTCCTGGTTGTCCATCAAACAGGCACGAAAACCCCTGCCTCACGCACTTTCCCATTTGCTCTTTTCTCTGCTGGGAACTCTCTTTCCTCAAATAGCTACACGGTCAGGTCCTTCAGTTCTTCAGGTCTTTGATCACGGGGCACCCTCCTATTGAAAAACCCCTCCCCCATACACTGCCTGCCTCCCCCGTCCCCCTGTTCCCTTCTCTCCTTAGCAGTCCTCACCACCCACCGAGGTCCTCTCCTGCGTGGGTTTGCTGGAATGAAGCTCCAGGAGGCAGGCACTGTGGCGTGCTTTGCTGTCTTCTGTGTTCCCAGTGCTTAGTAGAGTGGGACACGTGGTTGAACGGATGGATACACTACAAAGATTAAAAATGGGAGGAAAAGGGAAGATGGGAGCATGGTGTGAAAAGGAGAGGAATTCAGGCATTCGGTGGTGTAGAAACTCAAGTGCTCACAGGGGAACCAACCTAGTTTGCCCTCCTACTCCAGCCTCTTGGGGGTTAAATCTGGCACTCGGAGGAAAGGGCATCCCCCTCTTCTGAGGAAGCAAGGGGATCCAGGACACTGGGAAGGGGACCAGGGGACCCCTATGGAGGTGAAAGGGAGAGGGGAGTTGGAGGGGTGGCATAGAGAACACCAGCTAGTGTGCCAGACCCAGGACAGAAGACTTGACCCAGACCATTGAATTAGATGGACCTAGATTCAGGGTCAGTGTTGCCACCTACCTGCAGTGTGACCTGGGGCAGTGTGCACCGAGGGCAGGGAGGAGGCAGGGTTCTGCTCTGGGGAGGAGGCAATAAGGGGTGCTTGTTTATAGAGAACTTATAAGCCATCATATAACCAACTGAAAGTTGACCAGCTTTTTATTGTCACTGTGCACTGCTAGCCAGTAAACACTCTCCATCCATGGTATATGAGTGACCTGGGGAAATTGTTTAAGTTCTCTAAGCCTCAGTTTCCTCATCTGTAAAATGGAATGATCCCTACTTTCTAGCACTGTGAGGAGTACATGTGAAGGCATTTGGGTGTACACTGTGTGGTTACTGTCGTCCATTTTTCCCTGCTGTCTTTCCTCCCTCCCTCCCTCTTTCTTCTGCCCCTTCTCCCCTCTCTCTCTCACAGTCCTCCCTTCACTGCTAAGCAGTCCTCCCTGTTCCAGTCTACACCCCACCCCCTTCCCGCTCCAGCAGACATTCATCACTCCATCAGCCGTTCTGGGGCTGTCCCGAGCCTGGGCTCAGCTTCCTTCAGCCCTGACGGGCCGGGTGGGGTGGGGGGTAATTGAGACTGTCAAGCATAACCCCTGATCTGGGATGAGCTGACTTCATCAGCAGTTTATGGTTCTGAGGCATCATTTCGCCAGATGATGCATAACACAACCCTAAGTCATTTTTAGGGGGTGGCAGGTAGGGAGAGGCGGAGGAGTCACCATGGAAACTTCAGGTGGAAGGTTTTGCTGCTCTCACAATTTCTTCTTACTGCTGTCAGTCAACTTGAATGTAACCCTGAGACCTGCTGGCCTAGCCCAGCCACAGCGCCTCCCTGTGCTGCTGCAGAGTGTGTGCTGGCTCATCGGATGCTGTCTTTGCAGTGGGGAGCAGGGAGGTGGCCAGAGAGGGAGGGGAAGGGGGTGTAAGTGAGGGGCTAAGCAGAGCCCGGGAACCCTGGGCTCCCTGTGGCTGTGTGTGTGTGTGTGTGTGTGTGTGTGTGTGTGCGCACGTGTACTGGAGCAAGTGTAAAGGAGGGAGGGTGAGAAGGAAATCCCAGATGCTAAGAGGCTTTACTAAAAGCCATATTCTTTGGTGTTTCTGTTTTGCCCTGAGACAAGTTTGTACTGGAGAGAGGCCCTCACTGGGAGGTATTCATGCTGAGACCTGCCCTGTGGGAAGGGAAGCTCAGGAGTCTCCCAGCAGAAGGAAGGAGACGGTGGGAGAGGTCGAGTCCACCCCTGCCTATGCCATCTACCCCTCTGCTCTCATGACCCTGAGATGGAATCTAAGTGTCTCCCAGGAGAGGCAGAGCACCCCCAGGTTTGGCCCCATCCCCATCCTCCGGGCGGGATGATTTTTTTAGGTTTCATCCAAATTCCTCGCATTGCCCACACAGCTTCACCTGTCCAGGGTAACAATATTGCATCTCATAGGCATAAGGTCAGTTTGCTTCAACAAACCTTTATTGGGTGCTGATGTGTGGCCGGCATTGTATTTAGGTGCTGGGATGGCTGGTGCCCTCTTCCTTCGGCCAGACTCAGTGGTCCTGTTTCCCCTCCTCTGTTCACGTGCCGTTTCCGAAACCCAGCCAAGCTCTGGGTGGAGAATGGCAGCAGCGGGGGCACCTGAGGCCACTGATGGGACCGGGGTGAGGAAGAGACCTGGAGAGATAAGGTCCTCAGGGGCAGAGAGCACCCGAGGGAGGGGCCGTGGGGGCAAAGGAGGGCCTTTTTGGGAGAAGAGAGGCCCCAGTGAGAAGGTAAGAGGAACAAGAAAATGGGAGACATTCTGGGGAAACAGAAACAGACACAGGGAGCTCTGTTCTGGATTCTCCCACCCTCCCCAGGCCTCTTTGGATGGCTCCCCGCCAGTCCTCACAGGGGTACGCTGGAAGGGCCTGGACTTGGAGTCCCGAGGCGAATGAAACACAGTGAGGCTCTGGCTTCACACAGCCAGGTCTCCCTTCCTACCCCAGGGAGGGGGAGGGGCCTGATCCCCTCTGTACCCCAGCACCCTGGGGGGCTGGCCCAGGGAGAAAGCAGCTCAAATTTTGTCCAAGTGAATGGAGTGTGAATCACTGAGCCACCACCAGGAGGCGCTTTCCCTCCCTTACCTTGATTCATCTCCTGGGGAAGAAGGGAGGGGGCGTCACTGCTGCACATCACTGAGGGGGTTCCCCTGGTGGAAGTTCTGGAGGGGGTGTGCCCAGGCGTCCAAGCTCATATCCAGGGCTGAGCTGGGGTGCCCTCACTATTGGGTTGAGTTGTGCCTCCTCTCCCCTGGGTCCTGGGCACCCCGAGTTGGGAAGTTCCAAACAGATGGTCCTTAGGCCCAAGCCCACCTCTCAGTGACAGTGGGGGGACCTGCCCTCCTCTCCTTATTCCAGCGGGATGTTCCCTGGGCCTCTGGTAGTCATGTATGGGCTAGAGGTGGGTGGTCCATTGGCATCTCCTGGACCAGAGCATCCCATAAGCGTTCAGAGCTTTGAGTTAGTAATCAGCAAGGAGCTTGGCTGGCTTGAGGGCCAGAGCGACAGGAACTCAAGTGGGAGCTGAGACTGTGCGGCCCCATTGTTCTGCCCCTCCTTTCCCGTGCGTGGACATGGACCCCTGAATCTCAGGCTCTCCTGGGGTTGCACCGCACTCCGGCTCACAGCTGCCCACCTCAGTGTGGAACACCTCTCTCTGCGTCCTTCCCCGACGGCCCGCTGTGCTTCAGAATCCAGCTGGCCTGCCCCTCCTCCGGGGACCTTCCCGGCCCACGACGAGGCTGGCCCCTCAGCCATGTGCCCTTCACAGTTCCCACGTCTGTAGCTTCCTGTTCCAGGTCTGAATGTCCTGCTGTTGGTTACTGGGATACATTTCACATACCATGTCATTCACTCATTCAGAATGTGCAATTCAGTGATTTTTAGTACATTCCTAGATATGTGCAATTATCATCACTGTCAGTTTTAGAATATTTTCATCACCTCAAAAAAAACCCTCTAGTTATCACTCCTATGTCCCCTCCCCAGCCCTCGTCTTCCCCCTCTTCTCCTTCCTCCAGCCCTAAGCAACATAATCTGCTTTCTGTCTCCATAGGTTCCTGTATTCTGGACTTTCAAATGAAAGGGACTGCACACTGCCTGGTCTTTGTGCCTGGCCTCTTTTACCCTCCGTAATGTGTTCAAGGTTCATCCGTGTTGTAGCATGCATCACTGCTCTGTTCTTTTATGGCTGAGTGATGTTCCATTGTATGAACACACCACATTTTGGTTATCCGTGTGTCTGCTGGTGGACATTCGGGTTGTTTCCCCCTTTCGGCCATCGTGAATAGTGCTGCTGTAAATATCCTCATAGAAACTTTTGTGTGGAAATGTGCTTTCATTTCTCCTGGGCATATTCCTAGGAGTGGAATTGCTGGGTCATATGGTAACCTTGTGTTTAACATTTGAGGGCCCACCAGACTGTTTTTCAAAGTGGCTGCACCAGTTTACAGCCTGTGTAATGGGCTCTTGGTACTGTGCCTACTGTGTCTACTGGGTGAGTTGGCCCTAACTGGGACTGTTCATCATGGTATCACCAGCCGCTGGCTGGCCTGACTCATAGCAGGCGCTCAGTAAACGTATACTGAGTGAAGGAAGTGAGCGGACAGGTTCTCTTGCATTTGCTGCCTGTGACTATGAACCCTGGACTTCCCTTCAGACTCTGCCCTTACAATCCTCTCTGTGAATCTTCTCTGACCCCCTTGCTGGGCATAATCATGAGTTGCTTTTTCTCATAGCCCCACACTCCCTGGCTCTCACGAATGACTCCTCTGTGAGGCAGAGTCCCTTCAGGGTTCAGAGGGCATCTTAGTCACCTCCGTACCCCCAGCTTCTCATGCAGGGCTTGGCACAGAGCAGATGCTCTGTGTGGAGCTGTGGGCCAAGGGGAGCTATGCCTCAACGCTCAGGAGAGGGGATTTGGGGGGTTGTTTAGGGTAATCAGTGAAGCGACAGGGAGGGCATTGGGCCCCACAGAGGGTGAAACTGCTGCTACCGAGTCTCATTTGCAGACCTTGGGGCTCCCTAAAGAGGAAGAAGAGACTGCAGGGCTCTCCCCGCTGGCTGGGCTGCCGCTCCTCTTCTCTGCTTTCCTGGGACCGGAACATCCTGCCCTGGACCAGTCCAGGACGGGGGACAGAACCCTGGCCCGGAGCCTGAGCGCAGACATGATGGGGCCCCATGAACGTTCTCCAGGACAGGTGCAGGGGGCCACGGTGAGGAGGCCTATGTACCATAGGCATGTGGTCTTTAATGTGGCAAGTGACTGGTGCACTGTTGGGGTGCGATGTGCAGTTTTTCAGTGCAATTTGTGTAGGTCCACATTTATTTCACAGGCCGCTTGCAAATCGTGTATATGTAGTTTGACACTGGTATAAATTAGAAATTTTCACCGCATGTCCCCCAGCTTCCAGCCCCACCAAAACTGCTTATTTGTTCTCCCTCAGAGGAGGTTCCTCCTCTCACACCCTGCAGAACAGGTTGAATAGTCTTGATCCTTGTAACCTGTGACCAGTTCATTTATTGGGAACAAACAAGCCCAGAGGCTCCAGGCAGAGACAGGGATCCCTGGGAGGGCGGGGCTCCTGCGGACGCAGCGCTAGGGGTGGGGTCTCTGAGGAGACGGGTCATCCCACTACCTCCTCCTCCGTGGCAGTCCCTGAGGAAGACTCCAAGTCTGCTGGGGCAGCCCCACATCACTGTAGCCAGGAAGACACATTCATAGCAGACTCAAAGCAAGAGGAAGTAAAGGAAGAGGGAGTGGGAACCAGTTGGCTATGTACAGAAGTAGGGGTGGGGCTTGATTTCATTGAACAAATAATGTCAGCTCCTGACTGTTCTGCTGTCAAGTAACTATTCCATGTCCCCTTGTCTTTGTTCTAGGCTTGTCTCCACCATCAGTGGCCAAGGCAAGCTAAGAAAATAATGTATTTTCGTAGTGTGTGCTTAACACCTCTGAGCAGGTAAATCTACTGCCCAAAGGCCACCTGTCGATTCTGTGTTAACTGAGAAGCCCGTGGACAGTCCTGAGTGATCTCCAAATCCTGGCCCGTGGCTTTTAGAATTCAGAATGGGATCTGGGAACGTCTCCTTTTGACATTTGCAATAGTGCATGTTTTAGGGTGTGAAAAGAAGATCACTTTTCTAAGGTGCATGAGAATCAGAGGTAAGGGAGGCAGGGGACCTCCAGAGGTTGGGGGAGGCTGGCTTCGTGGGGAAACCGCCATGATTTAACCCGCAAAGCAGAACTGTGATGCGCCCAGTGGACTTCTCATCTGGAAGAGAAGTACTTGGTGGCTGTCGCCATCCTCTTGGCCACTCTAGGGCCTGGCAGTCAGCAGACTATGGGGCATGGGTGATGTGTTCTCTTTCTTTGCATCTTACCCCCCCCCCCCCCCCCAGGGCCTAGTTCAGGGTCTGCACACAGCTAAGTGAAAATGGCTCTACAAGACAGGCTAGACAAGAGGAATGGCTTGCAGGGACAGCCCAAGGGAGACCTGTGGTCAGTACAGGAAGGTAAAGTTTTGGATCTCCTGGTCTTCCGCCCTGGTAAGTGTGGGCAACATCCAGGCTGAGGGCTGGACCTTCAGCCTCGGAAGCAGTGCTAACACTAGTGGCAGGAGGAGCCGCCCCCAGCCCCCAGCCTCATGCCGGAGCGGCCGCTCGAGCAGCCCAGGAGCCCCTGGGGCTCACAGGGGATGTAGAGTTCACTGGTGCCCACCACACTGCAGACCCCATTGCTCTTGAGGGCACTGGTGCCCCCTGGGCAGTATTCGGTCCTCATCACGGGCATGTTGACCACACATGGTTCGTACAAGACAGCACCTTTTGAGCTGCTCACGGCTGCAGGAATAGAAAATGATGCTCAGGGCCCTGCACTGTGTGGCCCTAAGGGCATTGCCCTGAACCATTCAGTCAGGCCATGCCCCCTCCTGCTGCCACTCACCTCTAAGGAGCCCCCCACCCCAGTTACCAAGTCCCACCCAGCCAACAAGTTCCCCACATGCCTCTCCTCTATTCCCAGAGCCCTGGCTTCCGCTTCACCCTCTCTGTTTCTACTTGTGGGAACCTGCTTCAAATCCTCTTTCTCCAGAAAAGCGTCCCCTTGTCAGCCCTGGGCCTGAAGCACCAGGACCATGCTGCACATCTGCTCGCATTCTGACTCCCAGGAACGTATGCAGCCCTGCAGGAGGGCTTCCCCCGACCAGGAGCTCCAGCAGACAGAACACCCCTCTGGGGGGTAAGCGTGCCCAAGTCTGGGCAGGGGTGCTGTCGTCTATGCTGGCTTGATCAGCCCCCAGGACCCGAGCCCGTGGGGAGGACGCGTCTACTCACAGATATTCACGGGCCCAGTGCCTTCACACAGCCTGGAGTGAGGAAGAGACACAAGGTACGTGCATCAGAGAAGACAAGGCCAGTGAGCACGCGGCAGCCCCTTTCCTGCCCGCACCACAGGCCGTGTGCACGAGGAGGGCCGGCCGACTGCGTGCTGTTCGAGATTTCCCGTGACTTTGGCATGGGCAAGCCGAGGGCAGGGGAGTATCCACACCTGGGCCCATCCTTGACTAACCTGTGCTCCTCGCCCTCCAGCAGGCGCCTGTAGGTGGCGATCTCGATGTCCAGGCCCAGCTTGGAGTTCATCACCTCCTGGTACTCCTTGAGCAGGCAGGCCATGTCCTGCTTGGCCTTCTGCAGGGCCTCCTCCAGCCCGGCCAGCTTGCACTTGGCATCGTTGAGGGCCTCCTCGCCCTGCTGCTCCGCCTGGGTCACTGCGGCCTCCAGCTTGCAGCGCTGGGGGGGGGAGGGGGGGCACAGAAGGCATTGTGGGGGCTTTAGGAGCCCTTGGCTGACTCTCAGAACCGAGAGAACATGGTCCTAAAGCCCTTGGGATTCTCTAAGTGATAAGAGCACTAGGAGCATCTTTTGTTCTATTATTTGGTCCTTGACCCAGGTTCCTGACACAGCTCCTAAATTCCTTGGCATCTTCTGGATGACAGCAGTCTTTTGTTCTAATGAGTGACTCTGGCTTCTGATGGCTCCTGGATGAGGGTGGGTCCGAAGGACCAAACTGCGAGTCTTGGAATTTTCAGTCCACTGTCCGTCCTCCAGATGGGGGAGAGGGGCTGGACATGATTGACCATGCCTGCGTGAGGGAGCCTCCGTGAAAATCCCCGAGTACGGGGTTCAGAGGCTTCCGGGCCGAAGCATGTGAGCCTGTGGGGGTGCCGGGAGAGGGGTGCGCTAAGAGAGGGCATGGGAGCTCTGCACCCCTTCCCCAGATACCCTAGGTATCCCCTCCATGAGCATGTTCATTTGTACCCTTGATCACATCCTTTTAAAACTAACAGGTAAACAGCAAGTGGACTGTTCTCCTGAGTTCTGAGAGCTGCTCTAGCAAGTTCATCAAACCCGAGGAAGGGGTTCCAATGGACAGCAGATCGGTCAGAAGCTCAGGTGGCAACCTGGACTCGTGATTGGCATCTGAAGTGGGGCAGACTTATGGGACTTGTGGGAGAGCCCTTAGCCGGTGGGATCTGACACGATTTCTAGGTAGTGTCAGACTTGAGTTGAATTGTAGGACACCCACATGGCACCACAGAAGTGCTTGGTGTGGGAAACACCACACATCCTCTGACAGAAGTTTTGTGAGTGTTCCTATAGTCTTGGTTACATGGCAATGTAAACCTGCTGTGGGTTTCATCTTAGAAACCACGTGGTTTCTCTGGGGGGTGGGCACCAGTTCTGTCTGCAGCTCTACAAGAAGACCTGAGCGTTTCTAATAGGCACACAGAGCCATTTCTTCAGCACTAGTGGATTGGGATTGTCTGGCTGGTCTTCGCTGGCCTAGGAGAACAGAGTGGGCTCTGCAGAGTCACCTTGAATTCCAGGATAACTGGATTAGAGTCATTGGCTTGGAAGGGACCATGGAGACTTCTTCTAGGCTCCCATCACTGAAGCACCCTTGCTACTTCATCTCGGACAGCAGGTCACCTGGCCTCTGTGGGGGACCTCACTGCTGTCGGTCAGTTCTTTTGCAAAAAGGGATGTGCCCTTTTCCGTGAGGCAGCATAAGTTTATTCCCTTCTCAACAGCACTCCCGGGGAGTGGACCCGCCCACACGACCAGACTGCGGTCAGCCTAGGAGGAGCCCTCAGAACAGGGTCTTTCTGGCCTCACCTGTGCTTTGACATTCTCAATCTCTTGCTGCAGCCGCTGGATCAGCTTGTTCATTTCCAGGATCTCATTCTTGCGGTTACGGAGGCTGTCACTGTGGTTCCCGGAGGTCAGTCGTAGCTCCTCATACTGCGGGGACTGAGAGGTGAGCACCCCAGAGACTGCTGTGGCACCTCCCAGCCCCCTTTCTCACGCCCCAAGTCTCTGTTCCAATGCCTTCTGGCTCAGATGCTCTCTAGAGTCTCACTCGCCCTGCTCCCCATCCCCTTTCCATTTCTGGTCAATTTTGGGGTCCTTTTCTGGATTGCTCCTTAGTCCCTTTTCACCTCCCGGCCCTGAATAGTCAGGCTTATTAAATTCCCCCCAATTTCCAAGCTCCTCTCCTCTTTGTCTAGCTGTTCTGTGTCTTGTCCTTTGCTCTCTGTACCAGAGCCCAAAGATCTCCTGAGGGCCCCCTCCCTTTTAGATGTCCCTTTGGATCTCAGAAGGGGTTCTGCGCTCAGCCTGGGGCGCCTACAGACGGAGGACTGAGGATAGACCATGTTGCCCTCAGAGTGAGTACAATTGTATATTCTCCTCCAAAAGAATTGAAAACAAAATGAAATGTTACTTTTTCCGTTGGCTTAACACTTTTTTAACCTTTGCAATTCTGAAGCCAATTTCTGAATAGTGTGTTATAGATCACACATTTATAGATTTTTGAAAATTAGCCAACTAGATTTTCTGCACACAAGGGATGGGAGCATTTTGCATAAAAGATGCAAAGCAAGAGATAAGCACAAATCCTTCTCGTTGGCCCTTTGGGTATTTGGTTATTGTGCAAAAGCCTACATTGCCTAATCAATACCTACTCTCCTCTTCTTAAACAGAACTCTTGTTTGGGGTGGCGTTGAGCCCAGATAAGAGAACATTCTCAGCTTTCTCATCAGTGAGATCTTTGGCCCTTGCTGGGTAAGTTTCCAGGACAGTTCTTTGAAGTGGGGGATGACTCAGGTGCCATGTTTCTTCTGCTCTCGGCTCTCCTCTCTGCCTGGAATGAGCATGTGAGATTGGTGGTAGGGCAGCCATCTCGAGACAGGAGTCAGCCATGAAGATTGAAGCAATGCTCTTTTGTTGTTTGTTTGTTTGTTTGTTAATTTTTTTTTTAACTGATGTTAGGGTGAGAGGAAGAGAGAGGGAGATAGAAACATCGATGAGAGAGAAACATCGATTGGCTGCCTCCTGCACATCCCCTACTGGGGATGGCCCACAACCTGGGCATGTGCCCTGACTGGGAATCAATCTGGCGACCTCTTGGTACATGGGTCGAGGCTCAACCACTGAACCACAGCGGCCGGGCAGATTGAAGCATGTTAAGGATGGCAGACTAGAAAGCTAGGAGGAGCCTGTGTCGCTGGTGGTGAGATAGACCCTTTGGATTATCACAGGTACTCTATTCCTGCACTTCAAACTATTTAAGAAAACAGTGAAAACTGAATTTGTTTTAGCTATTTAAAAAAATCAATCCTCACAGCTAAATACAATCCGTAAATAACAGAGTTGTCTTTCTGGTTCTGACTTTGGAAGCTGGGAAACCGAGATTGTTTCCTCTGAGCCCACTTGACTCAGGAGAGCAGCTGGAGGAGGGACCAGCCAAGGTGCAACCTGGTGTGGATGGGCCGTAGCATCACTGGGAGCTGACTTCAGGCCAGGGCTTGACGCCTTTGATCACCATGGATCTCCAGAAAATGTGCAGAGCATTGCTTGGGGCGCTCCCTGGGCTCCATTGCCTTCCAAAGCACTTAGCACAACTCTGCAGGTTTGCTGTGATCTGGCCCCATGCGACCCCTCCAGCCCATTTCCTTCATGGTGCTTCACACCAGGGGCCTCACTTTCATGCTTCTGCATCCTGGCTCCTGCTGCCCCTCAGTCGGACACACCTCCCCTCATGCTCTGCCTATTGACATCGTGCTTGGCCTTCGAGATCCAGACCAAACGCCGATGCCTCTGCCTTTCCAGACACTTCATGCCACCTTGTTTTTCTGTTTGGTCGGTTCCACGTTTCTCTCCCCGTGGACTGCAATCTCCTTGAGCACGGGGATGGTCTGACTCTTAGTTCCTCGTGGTGCCACACATCCTTCCCTGGCTGCCTCATTTCAAACCGTGTTCCCAGAACACTCCCTACGCCTCGCCGCGTCGTTTCCTCCGGAGCAGGCATCTCCGTCCTACATCATGTACTTGTGTGTCCTGCTCGCTGTCTGTTCCTCTCCGCCCTGCCTCTACAATGAAGCGACGTGAAGGCAGGGACTGCTGTCTATTTTGCTCCCTGCCAGGATCCAGCATTTAGAATGGTGCCTAGCACATGATGGACACTCAAGAAACAGCTGTTGAATGGACAAAGGAACGAGGGAAGGAATGAATGGACACATGGTGCCTTTCACAGGTAGGGCAGGTGAGACTGAGGTGATGACATTGGTTCAATCAAATTGCCCTTGGGGACACCAGCTGCCCTTATGCAAGCCCCTAATTACCTAAGTCTGAGGTCAACTTAGTCACCCTTCTGCTCCACCATTAGTGACCACTCCATGCCATTAGTCTCCTCTGACACCTCGAAGCCCAGAGCCCTCTTTGCCATTATTGCCAATTAGCATTCTTGCATTCACGTCGAGGGACTCGGAGTAAATAAAGCCAGGGCACCCTGATGACAGGCCTGGGTGACCGTGGGGTCCACTCCCACATGTTCCGCAGGGACCTGGCCTGGGGCCCGGCAGAAACAACAGGGGCTAGTGTTTATGGGGTTCCCTGTCTCTCTCATTATCTTCTCACCCACTTTCTGGGGAAGTGGGTCCGGGGCGCCCTCCCTGACCCGCGCCTCACCCGGCACTGGTACCAGGCCTCCGCTTCAGCTTTGCTGCGGCTGGCGATGTCGTCATACTGGGCCTTGATCTCGGCAATGATGTCATTCACGTCCAGCACCCGGCTGTTGTCCATCTTCACAACGACCGAGGTTTCTGAGATCTGAGACTGGAGCAGGCAGATCTCCTGGGGGTGGGGTGAGGATGGGTGAGCTCTTCGAGGATCAGGGGGAGAACCTGCTCTGACCTTCCCACAGCAGTTTTGCACAGGATTTTGCCGTGGCGGTCCCAGGTCTTCAATCACCAACCTGCTCCCTGTCCCCCACTCTAGTTACACACAGACTCGAGAGCCAAGGTCTGGGCCATCGGACTTTCGGGGTCTCACTGCCTGAGAACCAGCTGTCCCCTGCTGACTTCTTCGCATGCTCACTTTTCAGTCTGCTTGCCCTGAAACGCCGCACTGGGCTGGGGATTTCCCACCCAAACCCTGGCCCCTGATCTGCCACCGCTGGGCAGCGAGGCTCGGGTACCTCCTCATACAGGCCTTTCAGGAAGTCGATCTCCTGGACCAGAGCCTCCACGTTGGTCTCCAGGTCCGCCTTCATCAGGAAGGCTGTGTCCACATCCTGCAACCAGAGCACGGACAACTGTCACCTGGGGCTGGGGCAACAGGGGACGGCCACCCTGCCCCCAGCAGGCCACTCCCAGCAAGCTGGTGGCAGGTGGCAGGTGTGGGAGCCACCTCTCCTCACTTAAGCCCACATGAAAATGAGGGGGTCACAAAGCCAAGGATGGAGGGAAGGGTCCCTATGCCTGGGCCTGGCACCCTACTGGGGAAGGACTTGAAGGGAGTGGGGTTGAGAGGGGCCTTGAGTGCAGCTCCTCAAAGCTCTCCGTGTGGGGCTCAGGCCGGAATGCCTAGCTGTCTGTCTGAGGAATCGTGGCAGAGACTTTCCTCTGCGGGGGTTTGAGTCGGGTTTTGTTTTGATTTTGATTTGGCACGAGCTGCATCTCCAACTTCTTGGGCAGGTGTTGACACAGCCCTAACCAGCTCCGGCCCCTAGCAATGGGAGGTGGAGGCTCAGTCGATCACTGCCCTTAGCAAGGGGTGGGGGATGCTGTCCTTCCTCTTCCTCAGGGTCACTGGGGCTGGCACCGGGGTCTGAGGGGTGTGAGGCCCTTTTGCTGCAGACTCGTTTGCACACCATCTAGGGGCTGAGTGTCCCAAGGCCAGCTGGGCCACCTCGGGGGCTCTGCCTCTCTGTGCCAGCTCCCTCACCTTCTTTAAGGTAACAAAGTCATTTTCCGCACAGGGCCGCAGGGACAGCTCCTCTTCGTATCTGGTGGAATGAGTAGAAAACAAAATTTTAGTCAACCTGTGGGATTTGGAAAGGGCCTCTCACGGACTGCAGGGCCTAAGGAGTCACCAGGTCCAGCCCCTGCCTCTGGACACCTCTAGCTGCTGCTCCAGCCATTCAAGACAGGTGATTAATATCACAGCCTTTCATTAGCCACTGTGCCAGTTTACTGCACTCCTCACTAGCCTGTTCCTGTGATGAATCATCCTCTGGGAAGTCCTTCCTAAGGCTAACTTCATTCCGTCCTGCTGTTAAGAAATCCCTTTATCTGATCATCTCTTCTGGGAAGGTGGTGAAAAGCTGGCTGCCTGTTGCTGGCATGGCTGGCTGTTCTGAGTTCTTCTGAGAGTTGACTGCAGTCAGTGAAATCCCAGCTGACCCAGTGCCCTCCTCGCCAGAGAGTCCTGAACCCCCCCCCCCCTCAGCTCAGTTGCAGAGGTAGCAATTACCCACTTTACCAGGCCCGCAGACAGCCCAGCTATTTCCTCTAGGTCCTCGCTTACTCACTTCCCCAGGGCAACGGGCTCAGGGTCAAGAGGTTCCGTCTGGCCAGAATGACTCAGTTTGAAGAGCAGCATCAATCCATTAAAAGCTTCACTGCGCTTCCTGACGCCCACCCTTCCTCTCCCAGCGGAGCCCTGCCGCAGCAGCACTGGCTGCCGGAGCCTGCCCCTGGTTCGAATCCTGGCTCACCCAGTGCTGGTCATGTGACCGAGAAGCTGACTTGGCTTCTCTGTGCCTCAGCTGCATATCTGTAGAATGAGGGTAACACTGGTCCTGCCTCGCAGGGCTGTTGTGAGTTAACGTATCATATGAGTTAATATCTGCAAAGCACAAAGCAAGGCCTGGGGTGCGTATGTATAAGTGTTGGCTGTTGTCAGACACCATCCAATAGCATCCTTCTACTGTCCCACTGGGCTGCAAGCCAAGTGTCTGACCCTTGTGTGTCTTATGCCTTGGAAAGGCGTTGCTCCCACGGAGAGGGCTGGCCTCCACCCCCCACTGCCGTGCTGGGCCTTGTCGGGCACAGTCTGCTGGAGTTGTCTCCTCTAACTTGTCGCACTCCGGCCCTCCCTTCTCACCTGCTCCTGTCCTTTCTCTTTTCCAAGGGCTACTCTGGACTCCTCTTTTATAAGAAGTAACTGCAAGGACACATATTCTTCAAGGCCCCCAGCAAATAGCACCCGCCCTAGGATGCGTTCCGAGGGCCCCTCTGCTTTCTCACTCTCGGGATTCCTCTCCCCTTCTGGCCTGAACCCCTTGTAGCTGTTGGTGTGTGTACACCAAGGTCCGTTCTTCCTGGGCTGGGGCATCTTGAGGGAAGGAGCCAGCCTTGTCCATCGACCACGGATAAGCACATGGTGGACATCTGCAGCGAGAGAGTCCCCTTCTGGCTCTGCTCTGTTGACCTACATCCCTTCGGAACTGTGGCTCTCAGTATATTCACACTGTTTGTGTTCATGGAAATGTGTCTCTCTCAACCTTCCCCCATCAACATGTGCTCCATGGGATCCTGGTCCTGGGGGAGACCCACCTAGGACCATTAGGCAATTTATCTGGCCCCAGCTTCTTGTAAGCACTGGAGCTACAAGCCTTCAAGCTCCTCATTAACATTTGCTTATCAACCACCTTCTCCTGCTGTGAGTCAGGCCTGAGCTGCAGGTCTAGCAGGCTACAGACCTTCCCCACAAAGGACTGGGCCAGAGACAAGGGAGACAGGGGACCTGTTAGTGACCTCAGGGGTGAGGACTTCCCACGGTGCCAGGAGGAGCCGAAGCCAGAAGTCAGGGGCTAGAGGAAATGTGGGTGGATTAGCCTGGGTGTGGCGCAAGGAGATGCTGAGAGGGGCTTTATCAGAAGAAAGAACAGCTCGAAGGGAAGAGCATTTGGGGATCTGTTTGGGGAACAAGAAGTAGTAGAGGAAATGCCAAAGGATTGGTGGAAGGTAGGGCAGGGCCCCGGAGTGCCAGAAACGGTAGGAGAAAGATCATGTTTCATGAGAGAGAGGACGAAGGTCTTCCTCGGGCAGGTGATGGGAAGGGAGCAGAAGACAAATACACAATTTCAGAGATTCTGCCACGGGCCAGAGGGCGGTGTCCTAGATGCTCTGCCTACGTCATCCCACCTACGTGTTCTACCAGCTAACGGACTAAGCGTTAGGTCCCCCAGAACTTTTGATAGGTGTGGAGACCAAGGTCCAGACGGTTCGTGTCGCTCTCCCTGGGCGCCCTGCAGGGTGGAACCCAGCGGACTCACTTCCCCTTGTAGCCCTCCAGGGTGTCCTGCAGGCTGCAGAGCTCCGCCTCCAGCCTGGCCCGGTCCCCGGCCACGCAGTCCAGCTGCCTCCGGAGGGTGCAGATGTAGGCCTCGAAGATGGGCTCCACGTTCCTCTGGCAGCACCTCTGCTGCTGCATGAACTTCCACTTGGTCTCCAGCAGCTTGTTCTTCTGCTCCAGGAACCGGACCTGCAGCCAAGAACGGGTCGTCACCGGGTAGCAGGTTCCCTGGGGACCATGGCTCGGAGAGAGGAACGAAGTGGTGGGGGGGCAGGGAATCAGTCTCTGCTCTCTCTCCCCACACGCCGCTGCCAATATGCTAAAGTGGACAGGCTGGGTCTCCTGTAGACTGCACCTGAGGTATGTGTCTGTGTCTCCCCTGTCTGGGGAGCTCCTGGGACCCACCTTCCACCACACTGCCCCTCGAGGCCCAGGGCCGGTCCTCCTTCCAGCCCTGCCTGCCTCTCAGCAGCCTTGTAACCTTGGCCCGGCCATCCCAGCCCTTTAAGCCTCGTTTTCTTTTCTAAAGCTCCTACATGGGGTTGTGCGTGGGAAGCGCTTAACAGATCTTCATACTAATGTAAGGAGGCGACATTCTAGGCGGCAGTAGTCGGGCTGTCTTCAGTGACAGCCCAGGGACACTCGGGGGAGAAGGTCCTATCAAAGGCTCAGTCCCAGGACTTAAGCTTTTCCACCACTGCCCCACCCCGTGTGGCCGCGTCCAGAACGAGCCCTTGCGACGTAATGAGGAGAGCTAGGCCCCCCCTCCATGTCTGTGCCTTGGAAACCTAGATGAGAAGCTGAGCGAGTTGACCATGGTCACCCAGCCAGTCATGGGCAGAGGGAACGCGGTCTCCAGATCTTGCCCTGGGATTTTCCATATTGTACATCATCTCTCCGACGAAGTGTGGAGGAGGTAACGCTGCCCAACTTCTGGTCAACGGCCATGTCGCCAGGAGGCTTCCCATCTCACAGAGGGTGGCGTGAGGTGGCTGAGCCGGGGCCCCGGGCTGACAGAATGCGCTTACAACCTTCTAAAACTTATGAGCTTTCAAAATTAAACTGTTTGACAGTTCCCATTTACTAGAACAAGTGTCTTTTTGGTAGGCTTTTGCATGTATTACTTCCTTTCATTTTCTCACCATCATCCCCTTTCTTCCCCCCACTCCCCCCGAGGCTGGGAGAGGACAGGCCCTCAGGGTAACGGTCAGGAGTGGCGCCAACGCCAGAGTCCAGGTCTCCTGATTTCTGGCCCAAGACTCTTGCACTAAACCTTGGAGTCACCAGAAATGCCTGCTCAGCCCTTGGCATGTGGCCTGACTCCCAAGAGCCTTTCTGAGGTGTAGGGGACAGGCCCAGAGGCAGCCGAGGGTGACAGCTCAGCACGTTCCAAAGGCGCATTCCACCCTTCCCCAAAGGCGTTCAGAGCTGTGGCTCTTGGGTTGACACGTGTAAGACTGTGGTCATGACCACCTTTGTCCCTGGCTCTCACTGCTCCACCTTCTCCTCATCACAGGCCTAAGCCGATGGCAAATTCTGGGGTCTTGGTGCCCATGCTCACCTTCAGGCCCGAGGGTCTGGCCCCAGCTCAGGTCCTTAGAAAGCAGCTCTATTGTTAAAGCCTCATCAAGAAAGCCTCTTAGGTTGTTCCTTTCAGTATCTATCATTGCTTTGGGAGTTCCTCTTGTAGTCTAACCTCAGGCAACCGTGGCAATTTTATCAGATAATATCCAGAGAGAGATGACATTAAAAACAAAGGATCAACAAACAGAAATGGTTGGTGCTGAGCCTGATCTAACCAGCTTTCAACGATTGGTGGTCATGGAGCATAGGAGAGGCCAGCAGATGAACTGTGACTTCTCTGTGGTCAGTCTTTTCCTGCCCCCTGGACCAGGCACAAGGTGTTTTCTGCATCCCACGCTCCTGCGCCTCTTACCTTGTTGATGAAGGCTGCAAAGCGGTTATTGAGGCACTTGATCTGCTCCTTCTCGTCCCACTTCACACTCTGCACGGTCGGATCAATTTCCAACTGCAGTGGGACCAGTAGGCTCTCGTTGATGGTGACAGGGGTGATGCAGGCAGAAGGCCCACAGGTGTTCCCCACTCGGTATCCGAAGCTAGGAAGGACACACCTGGAGGCAACGCGGGGCCTCCCACAGCTCACGTTGCACAAGCTCCGTGAGCGGAGGCAGCCCAGGACCCGGGGGGCCCTGCTGCCCCCTGGCTGGCATGGTTCCATGCTCACTGCATAGTGGGTGACCATCTGCGGGAGGACAGCTGAGCACGAGCTGAAGCTCCGACCGCCACATCTGGAGCCCTGCTGGAAGGATCTGCAGGACATGGCAGGACAGTGAGGCAGAGAGGCGGGCCCTGGTGGGGAGAATGGGGAGCGAGAGCTATCAGGTCGCTCGGCTCCCACCCTTTTATCTGGTGGGGGGCTGGAGGGCTGAGCTGGGTCAGACCCCCAATCACCATTAAATCAGGTTTATGAGCTTGGGAGATTGGCAGCTCTAAGTACTCCGGTGGATAATTAGAGTAGCAGAGAGCAGAGAAAAGGAGTCAATAGTCAGTGCTGGTGGCCCTATAAAAGTCTCAGGTGTCTTCCTTCCTTGTTTACTGAGGTGATGAAAGGGGCCAACCAGACAGATGTTTGGCATATTCAGAGGCTCAGTCTCAAGGAAAGAGAACTGGGACTTTACACCATTTCACATCTCCCTAGGGCTCCTGAGATCGAAGGTTCCAGACACGGAGTCTTGTCTCTAAGGCCTGTTTAGTCCAGAAAGGCCATAGGGGACTCACGAGGAGAGGCCTTGTGCTTGAGGAGGAGAGAGGAAGAAATGCTTCCCCCAAACATGCCGGGATGTCAGCCATTAGGTTGGGGTTCCACATTGCTGTTTTCTCCCTTCCTCCCCACCCCGTCCTGAGCCTCCCTGAGGTAGACAGAGCCTGCTCTGGCCCAAGGACATCTCTGGGACAGTCGCTGACCTCAGGAATCGTTTAGGTGGGTGCAGGATAGAGGCCTTCTCCCCAGCATCCAGGTCACAGCTCTTAGAAGGTGCTCAAACTATGGCCCCCATTCTGTCCCCTCCCCCTTTCCATCAGTCCCGTCGGGGAAACTGCTGCTGTGGCCAGTGGGTCCTTCCCTTCCACACTGTGACTTTTTCCAGGTCAGCATCTACTCAGTAATAATAATGGTAAGAACATTTATGGGGTGCTTACTCTGTGCGGGACCACCCAGAGCTCTCCATTCACTGTCTCACTTACTTCTTATGATGTCACCATGGTGTAGTTTCTAGTTTCCAAATACGGGAAGCAAGAAGCAGAGTGGCTAAGCTCCCCGAGCCTGGATTCCCTCCCAGTCCCTCTGAGGTCACTGTGCCCTGCTGCTCCAGTGCAGAGAAGCCTGGGTTAGGAATCGGGGGTCTCCTGCCAATATGCTTCTATTTCCTCCGTTCCTTGGCTTCCCCATCTGTAGATTAGGAGCCTGGAACTCCAACATTTCTTGTGCTCGGCAATTCTCAGTCTAACTGTGACATTTCACAATGTCCTCTTTCGCATAGTATTTTATTTTTTAATTTAATTTAATTTAATTTAATTTAATTATTTTATTTTATTTTATTTTATTTTATTGGGTTATCCTCACCTGAGGATATTTTTTCATTGATTTTTTAGATAGAGCGGAAGGGAGGGAGGAAGAATCATCAATGTGAGAGAGACATAATGATTGGTTGCCTCCTGCATGACCCCGACCAGGGCTAGGGCTTGAACCTGCAACCCAGCTATATGCCCTTGACCAGGAATCGAACCCATGACCCTTTGGTCCAAAGGTTGATGCTCTAACTGCTGAACCAAACCGGCCAGGGCATCCTTTTGCATAGTCTTGACTTTGGGTCCCAGCACACTGAGAAGGGGAGATGGGGACTGGGGCAGGTGAGGGCTTATTAAGAGACTATGGGCAATGATGGTGCAGCGTCCTGTTGCATGGTACAGGGGAAGGGGATTTTCATCATGCCCCGGAGAAAGTGTCACAGAACTGGGCCCCGGAGATGGTGTTAGTGGTGATGGTAATGTGGAGAAGCCAGACTAGAGAGCAGACTCCCTCCACACTCCCACCAGAGACAACAAATGAGATAGTGGGCAGACCTGTGACGGTTGGGCTCATTGGGACAATGTGGACACGGCAGAGCATCCCCTGGACACATCCAGGCCAGAGTGTGGTCTCAATGACCCTGCTGGACTCCCTGAAACCCAGGACCAGAGCTCTGGGGCAGAGAGTAGGATAGTTCATTGGAGGGCCCCTGCCCCCCGAGCACAGGTCCAAGGTGGCCCTTTGAACGTGAGATGGGACACAGACTCAGTCAAGACCTAGAGAGCTCGGTGACTGTTTATTGAAGCTATTTCAGGAGATGGGCAGGCACAGCGGGCAAGCAGTTGAGAAGGGTTTGAAACGATCAGAGCAGGAGTGACTTTTTCTGAAGCAGGGAACTCTCCTGTCTTCATGTCAGCAGGAGGGCGGCAGTCTCTCCTTGCCTTGGGAGTGCATTTTGGTCTTGAATGCAAGGCAGGTGTTTTGAGGGTTTATAGCTCTTCTAACTGGATGGGGAAACCACCCTGTGAAGGCCAGCCTCAAAAAGATCTCCCCTACTCCCTATTCCACCGCCACCCTACTTCTGCTTCCTTCAAGGGGCTGAGCAAGGTGCCCCCAGGAACACTGACAGCGGAGGCTGCCTCTCCTCCGAGTCTGCTCAGCCTTCCCGCGGGGCAGGCATTTGGTGGGCTGCCTTAACGAAGCTCAGTGTGGCCAGTGCTGGGGATGGCTAATCCACACCGCAGACACTTCAGAGACGGGAAGATAGAAAAAGGAAGAGAGAAAGAGCAGGAAATGTATTGCTAAACCGAGGAGTGGGGGGGGGGGGGGGGAGAGGAAGGAAAGAGAGAGACAAGGAGAGCAGAGGAAAGGAGGGAGATGGAGAGAGGAGACCCACAGGGTGGTGGAGGATGAGTGGAAGGAGCGAGGGTGAAAAAGAAGGTGGGAAGAGCAGGGTGACAAAGGAAAGACAACTTGCCAGAGAAGAGATGTGGCCAGCACAGAGGAACGAGGAGTCCGGAGCCTGCGGGTTATTTTGCAGGAGTCGTCTGCCGGCAGCCCGAACACAGGCTAGTTGGCTTCCTTCCCCCAGTGCACCTGTTGTGGGCAGCTGGTGCTGAGCCTGTCCCACACCTTCACAGGGCCTGCCCTTCCTCCTCATCAGGACACTTCTGTTTGGGCCCCTTATTCTAATATTGGCTTAAATGAGGCCAGTACTAGATTTCGAAAAACTTTGGCTATAAGGTATTATCTATGCAGCCCCTGGCCATGGAGAACTTTTGGATTCTTGATGAAAGAATTCCATTCTCCTATGAATAATCAAGAGTTGGCAATATTTTAATGGGTGTTGATTCCTCATTCAAATATTCTGCTGGTGGGAGTTGTCAGGGGCAGAGGCTGGCGGCCTGGGCGAGGACCGGAGGAAGGCGCTGAGGAGGCCATGTGTGGGCAGGGTGTGCAATAGGCCCTGGTCTCAGCAGCCCGCGGGAGATGTGTTCTGTCTGTGGTGAGAAAGCCACATGGGGACTCTGGCCTAGACTGCACTCAGCTTTCTTGGAGCACCGAGGTCTGTTCTGAGTGCCCATGAAGGACTGTGGTTACAGTGGCCCTGGCCAGACAGGGGAAGGAAGACCCAATTGCAGCCCTGCCCTGGAAGCTACTGAGGGCAGAGTCCTAGCCCAGGTCTCGGCTCAGACAGTTGAGTCAGCATTAGTTAGAATGGATGCTGGCTGGGGCTCTGGGCTGGGGAGCGAGCGGGGGCCCTCCTTGGGAACCTGTCTGGAAGCAGAGGGATGAATATGGTGACCTGAGCACGCACAGGCCACTGCCCCCTCCCTGTGCTTCCCGCTGCCAGGACTGACTTTGTGCAGGGGTATCAGCAAAGCTGCAGGACTTGGGGCTGGGAACGGGGGCCTGGGGGGCAGGGCGGGAGTGCAGCCGAGGCGCGGGGGCTGGGAGGGCTTTAGCTCCTATAACTCTTCTTGGTGGATGACGTCTTGGAGATGATGCGCATGCTGGAGGTGCTGCCACCCATGTTGCGGCCGCTGGTGGAACTGAAGCCCCCGCCGCCTCCCCCGTAGGAGAGGCTGCTGCTGTAGCTGCTCCCGCCCAGACTGTGGCCGCCACCGCTGTAGCCCGTGCCCCCGGAAGAGGAGACCACAGCTGTGGAGAGAAGGCACAGGGCTCACTGGCAGCCTCCTCCAGTTTCCTAAGACCCACCCTCCCGGGCGGTGGCTGAGGGGCTCCCCCCACGCCCTTCCTGAGGAGCAGGAATCTCCTGGGTCCCCAGGAGCCAGGCTCAGCGGTGGGCGCGGACTCCCGCCCCAGGGCCAGTGGCCTCAAGGTGAGCATCTGCACAGGACAGCGCATCTTTTAACCCCTCCACAGCTGTGACTACGCTCGTCTCAACAGGCCTAAGAGGGTGCTACTACTACACGCACCCTCGTTTTACAGAGGAAAAACCGGGGGCACGAAGAGATCAAGTGGCAAGCCCAAGGTCACCCCTGACAGAAACCAGGGCATTGGGCTCCCATGCTGTGTTCACTCCTCATCTACACAGAGGCTCTCACTGGATGACGTGTGAGGCCCACACACGGAGAGGGGCCGAGGCTCCCCTGCTGGGAGAGGCCGGAGGCCACCCGGGTGACCCGCCCCAGGATTCGAGTCCCCTCTACTACATCCTGGGGGCAATCATTTAGCTTCTGCTGGACCACTTTCGGTGCCAGGGAGCTCACCACCTCTAGGGGCGGCTCTCCGGGGCCTGGCAAACACTCAGATGCCCCTGGGCCCTCCTCTGTATGCTTCTCCAGGGGAGCTGTTCCTGTTCCGTTTACTCATCAGTGTCCGACTCTCCTGCATCCTGGTTCTCCAGCCTCTCTAATTCGGTCTGACCCACGCGGGACCCACACGGGGTTCTATGTGCAGGACTCAGGGCCCATGAATGCCACCTGGGTCACCATGTGAGGTCCCTCCCCATGCCCCTGCCACGGGCTGCAGCCAAGCCAGGCCAGCCACTGCTCTGCTTGTTCGACTCAAAATTCTGAACATAGTTCTTTACATTTAACCTGTCTAGTAGCCTCTTGTCAGTTGTTTGAGTTTGAATCCCTGCCAGAACTAGATGAGAAATCAGGGGTTCAGATGGGGGACCCACTGCTCTGCAAAAAGTCCTGTCCCATACCTGGGGTCCCCTGAGGCCTGGGTGGAGTCATTCCTGTGGACAGAGGACCCCACTGGATGGGCCCCAGGGGTGAGAAGTCATCACAAGTCTCTCTTGACCCCCCTGGGAGGAAAGGCCGAAGAAGAGAGGGGTCTCTGCAGAGCCCCTAAGAGGGTCTTAATGACTTCCCTAAACTAGCTTGTTCATTTTCTAGTCATCGAATCCTTGTTGGTGATGCTATCCGCTTTCACTATGCCTCCCACTTTTCTGCCACCGAAGATGTTTACTCACAGATGTTCACGGGCCCGACACCTTCTCCAGTGAGTCTGAGGTGGGAGAGAAAGAGACATTTGCGGAGACGTTAAAGGGTTATCAGCACAGAGCGCTCGCTTACTGAGTCAGGCACTGTGCCTGACAAGCTTTCCGTTTGTCTCATTAGTCAGGAAGTGGGGGTGAATCTGTCGGGCGACATCTAGAAGACAAACCCAGTCAAAACATGCAGAGGAACGGGAGAGGGACCCGTACCCCCTACCCAGAGGGGCAGTGAGGTCGTAGAGTCCCTGAGGCTTGCCTCAAGTGTGGCCTCATTTGTCATAGGGTCTGCGCAGAAATGACCCTGCCTACGGCCACCTTTCCCGACATCTTTCCCCCTGGCCCCCTGCCCCGGGTCCAATCGGAGCTGTGGGAGGGGCTGTGACTGCAGGAGGCGTCCAGGAAGCAGCTGTGTTTTAACCCTTGGAACTTGGACGTGGGGCCTGCCACCGCGGGGCTCGCTGCAGTGCTCCGGGGGAGTCTGTCTGCGCCGTGGTGGGAGGAAAGGTGGCCCACCTGCACTCCTCGCCCTCCAGCAGCTTGCGGTAGGTGGCAATCTCGATGTCCAGGGCCAGCTTGACGTTCATCAGTTCCTGGTACTCGCGCAGCTGCTTGGTCATGTCCTGCTTGGCCTTCTGCAGGGCGTCCTCCAGCTCGGCCAGCTTGTGCTTGGCGTCCTTGAGGGCCAGCTCCCCACGCTGCTCGGCGTCCGCAATGGCGGCCTGGAGCGTGGCGCACTGCAGGGGGACACAGGGGTCGGAGATGGCCCACAAGGATGCAGAACGATGTGGGCTTTGGGTGGAAATAGGGAGGAATTTTTTGAAATGGATTTCATGGAGTCTGGAGCTCCCTCATGTTTAAAAATAAGATTAGTCTGTTCCCCTTGAATCATGTGAGACTTAGCCAGGATAGAGAAAATGATCTGCAGGGTCCTTTTCAATGCTGAATGTCTCTGGCCAGTGGCTAAGTAAAGCCGGTCAAAGTTCGCCTTGGCTGCCTCCAGAGGACAGAGCCTTTCTTAGAAGAATTGCTGTCGGACAGAATTCAGACAGGAGGTGCTGACACCCCTGGTGAGGCAGGAGACCTCTTTCCTGGAAGGTCACTCATCTGGGGAGGCTTCACTCTGCACGGGCTGAGTTAGGACCAGGCCCTGGTCTGCCCGGGGGCAGGGGCATGGATAGGATGACCTCCGGGAGCTCAGTTCTACCTGCTTCTTCAGGTTATCAATCTCAGAGCGCAGCCTCTGCATCATCCGGTTCAGCTCAGAGATCTCCATCCTGGTGGTGCGGAGGTCGTCCCCATGCTGGCCGGCAGACCGCTGCAGCTCCTCGTACTGGGGAGAAGCAGAAGCAGAAGGCAGGGAGATTCAGGCCAGAGAAAAGGCAGTGGGTTCCAGGCCCAACAGGCTTCCAATGTGCTGCCTGGAGGTCCCTGCCTTGGCCCCGCCACGCCCCATCCAATCCATCCCCGCTGTCCCTGGACTCGGCCTCTCTCTCCGTGGCCACAGGCTCTGCACCAGGGTCGGCCCGTTCTTCTTGGATCTGGTCTTTTGTGCCTCTCCCCTGACACCAGGTATCCACTCAGCCTGTCACTCTCTGGTTTTAAAGTTCTTTGATGCTTGTTTACCTTGGCACCACATCTCACACCCCAGTGACACCCAGCTCAGAGTGTTGGCTCTAATCTGGAAGACCTCATTGTTTGACTCATATCCAGCCTTTGTTTCCACCTCCCCCAGCCCCTCAGCTCCAGACTGTTCCACCTTCCTCTGGATCCAGGAGGCTCAGCCTGCCTCTCGTTCTCACCTCCCCTCTCTCACTCCTCCTGACACAGCTGGCTGGTGCTGTCCGGCTGTCCCTTGCCTCTCTGTAGGGCATTGGAGGGATGTCCACCTCGCTGTGGCAGATGGGCTGACCACCTCCTGCCTTCATCTGGCTTTTCCCCCAGGTCCTGGGGGTACGGCCCAAGGAGGGCTCAGTACAGAGGGTCAGCCCCAAGCTAAAGTCAGATAGAGCCCTTCAACACCATCAGACTGGGACATCAGAGAGGACGAGGCTCTTATCTAAATTGTCTTTGAAATCCAAGTTTTCTACTATTGTTTCATGAACTTGATGTTCATAGCTCACCTTGGTCTGATACCAGGACTCAGCCTCGGCCCGGCTGCGGTTGGCGATGTCCTCATATTGGGCCTTGACCTCAGCGATGATGCTGTCTAGGTCCAGGGAGCGGTTGTTGTCCATGGACAGGATCACGGAGGTCTCAGAGATCTGGTCCCGAAGCTGAGCCAGCTCCTGTGTTGGGGTCCAAATGGGGAGAGCTGAAGCAGGAGGCACATGTGTGTGCTCATGTACATGTGCGCACGCGCCTGTGTGTGTTCATGTGTGTTGGGACACTGTGACCAGGCCTCTGGAACAGATCTTGGCATGAAGGGTCTCACTTGCACTGTTGAGTGTAGCACCCTGCTAAGGTCTGAAAGGGCTGGGAAGGACATTAGGGAGGCCACTGGGTTTACTCCCATTCTTACTCATCAGCCCGCCTGCATGGAGGAAGCAGCAGCACAGGTAAGTTTAGCTGCTCTGTTACTCCTGTCGTCAAGGGAACGCACCTTGTCGTAACCTGTCAGTGCTGTGAGGTCTCCTGTTCTGAGAAAAACAGCCTTTCATACCAAATAGAGAAGTCATCTTGTGAAAGAAAACTGAGTCAAAGGAGCCAGGAAGCTTTGCTGCATCTCAGTCTTGTTCCCCAACTTCGCTCCTCCCTCAGGGATGGGAAAGGAACTTTGCTGGAAACTCCAGGAAGGGCACCAGACTGAGATCTTCAAGCCTGATCTGCCAAGCAGGTTAGATGGCATCTCTGTCTCAGAGAGGAGCGTTAAACAGATTCACGTCCATGTACGATGATCTTTGGAACAATACACCCACAATTAATTTGTTAACGATCACTCTTCAGATTCCCTAAAGCACTGGTTTTGAAAATATGATCCTCAGACCAGCAGCAGCTCCATCACCTGGGAACTTGGTTGAAATGCAACACCTTGGGCCCCGCCCTAGACGCACTGAACCGGAACTGATGTTTTATTAGGACCTCTGGAAGGTTCTGACGCATTGTCAGGTTTGAGAATAAGTGGTCTAAAACACAAATCTTAAAAATATCCCTTCCTTTCTTTATTAAAAATTGGTTCGTGCATTTCCTGCTTCAAGAAATTACTGTTTTGTTGTTGTGTCCTGGGGTTTCTTTTTCCCAAACCGTTTTTCCTGGTAGCTGAGGGAACTCAAGGGTCTCAACCCATGGGCTTGCTGGGCTGGGGCTGGTTCAGAATCAGGAGCCAAAGCACCCTGGCTGTCAGCACTGAAGTGAATAAGCAGAGAAAATGATGCCGTGTTTGCCCCTCATGGGCTGTTGGATGGTCACTGAACCCGTCCAAAGACACAGCGCAGATGTCTCTGCTCCTGGAGCAATGTGACCAACTTCTGTTGGGCACTAAACATATGCAACCCCCATGGACATATCACCTGTCCTTACCAGGGCTACCTGGAGGCACGCCATGTCCCCTGCACTTTCCCAAGACCTCCCTGGTCCCATCTCCCCCGCTCCCCACACTCACTCCACTCCAGCCTCCTTGGCCTCCTCCTCACATTCCTGGATCCTAGTTCCTTCAGGTTTCTCCTCAAATACCACCCACCGCCTGCCTTGCCGCTGCTCCTTATTGTCGCATGTGTCATCATCCCTGCTGTGCCTGAATGGCGTTGTGTCTGCTCCTGTCTCCCCACTGTGAGGGATGCTCACAGACAGCGCCCCACTGTGTTTGCTCAGCACTTTGCCCACAGCCCCAAGGACAGTGTCTGACTCTGAGCAAAATACGTCTGCAGCCCTGGCCCGTGTGGCTCAGGTGGTTGAGCGTTGTCCAGTGCACTGAAAGGTCACCGTTCAATCCCCAGTCAGGGCACATGCCCAGGCTGCGGGCTTGATCCTTGGTCAGGGTGTCTGCAGGAGGCAATGAATCAATGTTTCTCTCTCTCCCTCTCCCTTTCTCTCTCTTTAAAAGAAATAAAAATAAAAACATGTTAAAAAATATATGTCTTCAGGCCCTGGCCAGTTTGGTTCAGTGGTAGAGAGTTTGCCCACGGACAAAAGAGTAGAGGGTTCGATTCTGGCCAAGGGCATGTACCTCGATTGCAGTTGTCCCTGGCCCTGATCAGGGTCATTCATGCAGGAGGCAACCAGTCGATGTGTCCCTCTCACGTTGATGTTTCTCTCTCTCTCCCTCTCTCTCCCTCCCACTCTATCTGAAGATAAATAGAAAAACATCCTCAGGTGAGGATTAAATATATTTATATATCTTCGGGAGAATCAGGCAATTGTGTTGTGAGCTTCTAGAAGCATCTGGAGGCTCACTAACTGCCACTTGATTTGCATAATTGCAACATCCTGCAGCCAAGAGTAACAAGTAGATTTAAGCTGAAATGGGTGAGCTGGGTTTTCAGACAGTTCTATGGAAACCATGCGGAATTCAATGACAGGCAGTTCTTTTGTCTGACCAACCGAACATGATCGGTGCAGGGGATCAAGGTTAAATTTCTTACCTCACCTGACCCACCAGCTACCTGATGGAATCAATCATATTTTCTCCCTGGGTGGGAGAAGCAGCATGTGCTCCATGAATTCCAACCCAGGGACGGGGTGGGAGCAGAGAAGCCATCCGAGCAGGAGCCGGTAGCCTCTGGCCAGCCAGCCTCCAGCCTCCAGCCCCTGAGGGGTGCAGTGGGCACTGCTCACCGCTTCGTAGAAAGCTCTCAGGAAGTTGATCTCATCCATTAAGGCGTCCACCTTGGTCTCCAGCTCCACTTTGTTCATGTAGGCGGCATCCACGTCCTGCACACAGAACATGCAGTCACTCTGCATCCTGCCGGGCGGGAGGACGCCAGCTCCCAGGGACGAGAGCAGTTCTTTACTCCAGGCCTTGGGTGGGACTGGTGAGGGGATCCAAACTGTGCGAGGACTAGTGCTCCCAGGGATGCCCACCAGCTCACCAGCTGGTGCCACGTGGAAAGATGACCTGTTTCACCTCCACGTGGTAAGGACAACCTCATCATGGGGGCCCAGGCTCTCCCAGACTCTCCTTGAAGTTCTTGGTGGCTTCCCCGCCTCCGTCACTCTCCGCCCCTTCCTCCTCCCACCACTGCTGTTCTCCCTCCTCCAGCTCAGCTGGGGGCTGGTTCGCCTCCCTCCGCCTGTCCCCCGCACCCTCCACTAAGCAAGAAGGCCCACAACCCTGTGGAGCTGATCCTTGTCCTGTGCTGGTCCCTTGATGTCCTGTAGACTCAGCTCAGCATGAGGCCCCTTTTTCCTTCACCTCTCTGCACTGGACTCCATGTGGGGAGGGGCTGGTGTCGTGATCTATGGCTTGCACTTTGAGGCCCTGGACCCTGAACGTCTGGGTAACCTGGGGCAGCTTGCTTCCCCTCCCTGAGACTGAATGTCCTCACTTCCAAAGAAAACCTGTTTTAAGATTGGTGGCACAAACTAAATAAAGCTGTGTGCAAGGCCACTGGCTGACACTGCAGCTGGCTCTCCTGGAAGGGCCGGAGTCAGAAGGGGGCGCCCCGTCCCCTTACCTTCTTGAGCACCACAAACTCATTCTCCGCCACTGTGCGCCTGTTGATTTCGTCTTCGTACCTGTGGGAAGGAGCAGGCGTGGACTGCTGTAGAAGCAAGGGTTCTGGGGGAGGTCAAAGCAGGTGGGCAAGCGACAGGGTGCAGAGCAGAGCTCCCCTGCTACACATGTGTCCCCAAACCCATACCAACCAACACCCACCTACCCCTGTGCACACAAAGCCCAAACCCCAAGTGAAACCAAACCAGCCCTCCTTTCTGAGCGTGCTTTGCACACAGCTTGCTCCGTAGAGTGCTTAGGTCTCACAAAGAGGCATGCGCGGTTCCTTTTATACCCCCTGGTCTTGTCCCAACGCAAACAGAGGCCATGCGGGAGGAACAGAGAGAACAGTAGGAGGTGGCCAGTCCTAGGCCGCAGTGGCCTCTGCACCCATGGTGCCCTCATGCCTCCCTGTTGTGTTCTCTGGCTTAGAAAGCAGAGTCTTCAGGCTAAAAGGAGCGACCCACCCCTCTCCAGTTTCCTCCTTCTTCCATCTTCCCCCAGACAGCACCCCCACCCCTTGTTCACTGACCCGTGGGAAGGAAGTCGCACTCCTGCTGTCCTGGCCCCTGTCCTGCCCAACCTTTCCGAGAAGCAGGGAATCCCTCCCTCTCAGAGGCTCTGACGGCCGGGGCTGGGGCTTTGTCTTCTCCACCTTTCCGCCCAGTAACCCCGGGCAGGTCACTTCACCTCTCAGAGATGCCCTTCCCAGCTATGAAATGGCTTGTTGTTATTCTTTGAAAACCACAAAGCATAGTGCAACTGTGAAAAAGAAGGACCTTTGCCCTGGCCGGTTTGGCTCAGTGGTTAGAGCGTTGGTCTACAGACCAGAGAGACCCGGGTTCCGTTCCCGCCAAGCACAAGTGCCTTGGTTGCAGTTTGTCCCAGGGCCCTGGCTGGGTTCGTGTGGGTGGCAAACACTTAATGTGTCTCTCATGTCAATGTTTCTTTCTCTCTTCCTCCCTCTCTCCCTCCCGCTCTATCTGAAGATGAGTGCAAAAAAAAAAAAAAAATGTCCTTGGGTAAGGATAAAAAAAAGAAGGATTTTACCCTTTGAGACAGCATGGATGGACCTGGAGATTATTATGCTAAGTGAAATAAGCCAGTCAGAGAAAGACAAATATCACGTGTTCTCACTTATGTGGAATCTAATGAACAAAATAAACTGATGAACAAAATAGGTCTAGAGACCTGGAAGTAGGGAGCAGACTGAGAGATCCCAGAGGGAAGTGTGTGTGGGGTGACGGGAAGAGATTAACCAAAGAGCTTATATGCATATGTGGGTAGCCCATGGACACAGACAATAGTGTGGGGAAGGCCTGGGGAGCGATGGGAGCCAGGTGGAGGGGCACAAAGGGGGGGAAATGGGGGATATCTGTAATCCTCCCACAATAAAAATAAATAAAAAAACAACCACCACAGAGGCTGTCCCACATGATATATATCACCAGATCTCTGCTTTTATATTGCCTCTGTCATCCAGCAGGATCTGAGACAAGCTCTTCCCTGCCAGTGATTTGGTTTTCCTTATTGTTTCCCAGCATTGCCTTTTCACTAACTATGAACATCAGTTCTTCACCTAACTTCATGCAGCGGTCCTTGTCTTCTGTGTTTCCCAGCTCACAGGCCCCCTGCCGGAGGGCGAGCACCATGTGGTCCTGCACAGGCCCTCAGACACCTGGCACAGGAACATCACCATCTACTAACTAGGAGCACACACTTCACGCCCCCCCCCATCCCTCCTCTGTGCCTCTTTCCTTCTCAACAATAAGCTTTCATCTCCTCCTCCAGGAAGCCTTCTTGGATTGAAACACTGTTACTCCATGTTTCCATACATATTATAAATTATCCATCTGCACCCGCTTTTCTTGTCATTGCACACAAATAATGAAACATCAACACAATAAAAAGAGCTAACACTTATTAACAATTTACTATGTGCCAGGCAGTGGGCACCCTACCAAGTATTTTACATACAAGTTTTGATGTAATATTCTCAACCCTCCTCTAGGGTGAGTTCTATTAATATCCCCTTTAACAGACAAAAGAACTAGGGCTTTACAGAAGTTAGTTTTCTTTGGGTCTTTAGTTAGTAAGTGGCTGAGCCAAGATTCAAAGCCACTGTGATCACAGAAATGCTCTGTCTGCACCCGTTACAGCACCATTAGCCACATGTGGACTGAACACCGGAAATGTGGCTGTTGAGACTGAGGAGCTGAATCTTACATTTTATTCCATTTTAATTAATTTAAATCTAAATAGGCACATGTGGCTCATGGCTACCATGTTAGCTCAACCCTAAAGCCTTAACTCTTACTGTATTACTCAAACAGTAACTAAAATTCCTTACAGAGTAACTTGTTTTATTTTGACCAAGACAATTAGAAATAAAATAGAACAATAAAAATAAGAAATTACTCATGTCTATAGGCATGAGCACACTATTATGTTTAGTGGTGTGTGTGTGGGTGTGTGTGTCTGTGTGTGTGTCTGTGTGTTTGTGTGTGTGTGTGTCAGGTTGTGTGTGTGTGTCTGTGTGTGTGTGTCTGTGTGTGTGTGTGTGTGTCTGTGTGTGTGTCTGTCTGTGGTTCCAGGGAGAAGGCACCATATATAGGCCTTTTTCCTCTGTTCTGCACCCCTTGGCTAGGGTTGGGTAAATGCACAGACATTGTGGAAGTTAGCAATAGGACTGAGTTGAACAAATGTGAGGGTGAGATTCTACAGGTTTAATTCTTAACTCACGAGTTACCACCTGTATAAACTTGGGTGAGTCCGTTACTATCTCAGAGCCTTACTTTCTTCATCTGCAGAATTTGGCAGGTGGTTGTGTGCGTCGTGCTCTCTGTGCCCATGTTAGTCATCATCCTGTATAACCCCAGCCCCTCCCCAAAGCCCCATCATTCTTGACTATAGGGTCCCAGTTCATTTTCTGAGTCTACCTCGGTGCCCTGCGTGTGTGTCCCATTTCCCCACTGAACCGGGCACGTCTGGAAGAGTCGGCCGAGCGTCCACTCACTTGTTCTTGAAGTCCTCCACCACGTCCTGCATGTTCTTCAGCTCCGTCTCCAGCCTTGCCCGCTCCCCACCCAGGCTTTCCAGCTGCCGCCTCAGGTTGTTGATGTAGGCTTCAAACATGGGCTCAATGTTGGCCCTGGTGGTTTTATGCTCCTGCAGGAGGCTCCATTTGGTCTCTAGGACCTTGTTCTGCTGCTCCAGGAACCGCACCTGCCCCAGCCAGAGGTGAGAGACTGTGAGGACTTCCTTGTAGCAGCCCAGAGAGCTCTGGGATCCAGGACCCCCAACAGTGCAGGGGGTCTGCGAGACCTCAGAGTCCAGGCGTCCGGCTCTCCCTCATCATCCTCAGCCTGGAAGAGCCTGGACTGTCGAGGGCCAAGCACGTGTCGGTGCGATGGGCCTGGGAGACAGGTGGTGGCTGGTTTGGAGGTGGGAGAAGCAGGAGGGCCAGAGGGGTTGGAAACTCTGATCACGCCAAACCGCGCTGACATGTGGGAGGTGAGGAAAAGAACACTCCACCCTCACATCACTGGGTGAAATTTTGATTTCTAAGTGGACAAAAAGTTCTTGGCAGAAAATTCCACCTATTTTCTTTCCAGCATGATTTCTCGAGATCTAGCATCTGGACTCGGTTGCTCACACACTCCAGGAACGCTGGAGGGGTCACTGCGGAGTCATACTGCGGGGTCTGGGCACAGTCCCAGCCATCTCGCGCTAGCTATTGGGCTTTGGCAAGCCTCCCTCTCTGCTCTCTCAGGTGCTCTATGGTCTTGTGGCACAAATTTCTTGAATGCACTCATCTGCCCTGCCACCTGGAAAAATATGCGAAACCTCTCTCCCTAAGCAAAGTCCTTCTGCTGGGAGTAGCTGGAATGACACACAAGCTCAGAGAATGAAGGAGCAGCACCTCCAAACCTTTGGGGATGGCAGTGTGCCCGCGGAGGGTCTTTGACAAACGCACCCGCCCCACCAGCTTTCTCTCGCGTCGCGGAGGAAGGAGGGCAGTCCTGGCTCCCAGTCCCTCCCTACTTACACCCCTTTGTCCCCTACGTGCCCTCCTGATGAATCTAAGCAAGCAGGGCCCACATTCTTCCCCTTGGAGCCAGGCTCCTGGGAATCTCACAGCTGTCGACACAAACACCAGGCCCAGTGGAGTGACATGGGTGACAGAGCTGAAGAACCACTGCCTCCTTGCTTAGGTCGTACACATTTAAAGGTCTGGGTCCCTATGAAGAGGCATTTCATAGACTGTGAAATGCACCTCACAGTCCATCTGTCCAGCCCAAGATGCCCGAGAAACTAAGGATTCTTTCGGCAGTAGAGTCAAAACGAGGCCTTGCGGTTGCCTCTCAGCTTAGTACGCTTTCTTCTAGACCCCAGGTGTGGAGTCTGAACGACCCAGGTCCTTGAAGTGGTTCTTCCCAGGTAGAAACAACCAGCTGGGGTGTGAACCCGTGGTGATGCTAAATAGAACCCCAAATAGAATTACTTCTTTCCCCAAACTGGGGAAATCCCTGGGCTTCCAGCCCACAGCAAGGGGCCCAGGGCTGAAGTCACAGCTCTCCTCTCTCCAAAAGAAAAGAATTAAACACTGTGAGCAGCACCTGGCCAACAACCCAGCTTCCCAGACATACCCAAATCACTAGGGAGGTGGCCACGGGAGGACTTGCCCCTATTAAACTGGGCAGGAAAAAGTGACCTCAGCTCACTTCTGTGGACTGAACTTGTAACCTTTCTTTCTTTTATCCCCTTCCCTCCGAACCAATCCCTTTTCACTGTCTAATTTTAAGCCCAGTACATGACCACTGTCCATCAAAAGAGCAATATCCTCGCAGTGGGTCAGAAAGCTCTGGAGCCCGGAGATGGACATTTTTCTGCTCCCACCTCAACAAAATGCCCCCTCCTCCACGCTGTCTTCCTACTGCTCAGGGTCACCAGCCTTGGGCAAGTCACAACTGACCTCAGAAAAACATAGAGAGCAGTGATCCCCCCAGCATTTCTGGTGGGGACCCCACTTGCCTCTCACCTTGTCGATGAAAGAGGCAAACTTGTTGTTGAGGGTCTTGATCTGCTCCTTCTCCTCCTTCCGCACCCGCTGGAGGGAGGGGTCGATCTCCAGGTGGAGGGGGGTCAGGAGGCTCTGGTTGACAGTGACCTCCTGGATGCCCCCAGCTCCAGACCCATACCCGCTGTAGGCTCCCCCTACTCTGTACCCTATGCCGCCAAGACCCATCCCATAACCAGCACCACCTAAGCTGCCCCGGTTGGAGCAGTAGCCCCCGCTGATGGAGATTCTCTTGCTGCCCCCAAGGCCATGGAGGCTCCTGGTCCCGAAGCCACCTCTCAAGCCACCCCCAAAGCTCTTCCCACCCTGGGTCACGGAGATAGAGCTGAAGCTGGTCCGGGAGCCTGGGTGGAGGTTCGCTGAGGAAGCACTGAAGTTCCGAGAACCCCCTGACTTGATGGTGATAGAGGACCGTTGGGCCATGGTGGGAGCTGGTGTCAGAGGGTCAGAGAAGCGAAAATGTCAAAGGGACGAGTGGCCTTCAGAGTCTAACTGTCCCAAAGTCTCCTTGACTTTTATCCCTTTCAAAAACTGGGCTTGGCCAGAGAAGATCAAAGACCACTGTGTTGAGTTCATCTCAATGGCATGTCTGGCCACGGCCCATCTTCCTGCCCCGATAATCACCGTGGGGAACACCCTACCCAGGGCAGGACCAGGCCTGGGCATTCGGGCCCGGGGCAGGCCTGGGTCCCGGGCCCCCCGCCTGCCCAGCTTCTCTGCCGTGTGCAGCAGACACTCCCATGCGTCTTATCTGCTCCTCTCTTCTCGACCTCCAGGCCTTGGACTCTGAACCCAGGTGCTTCCTGCCATGGTCATTTATAAGGAAACCCCCTTTGTGGAGGATTCCATCTGGGCAAGACCGTGGGGCAGGTCGGTTGCAAGCACTGTGTCCTTTGACTCTCATAACTTTGTGAGGGTGGATGGCAATAAAAATTGCTAACGTTTACCGAGCGGCTACCGTGGGTCACTGCTTTACACCTGTCCTCTCATTTGGTCTTTACACAGGTGGCTGTCACTGTCCTTGTTTTGCATGTGAAGCAACTGAGGCACGGAGTCGTTAAGCACTTGCAGACCTCACACAGCTAGTGACTGCCGTGCTGTTGGGGCCTGGTTGCCGGACTGCGCCTCATGGCGACAGGAGAGGTGGCTTGTCGAAGAGAAGCGGGCTCGGGATTTCACTCCAAATTCCTGTCCCCTCTGCTCCTCTTGTCCCGGGTCTGAACGCGCCCCCCCCCCCCCCAGGGATATTTAACAATTGTTCTCAGTGTCATTTCTCTTCTTGCCATCCTCTCCCTTTCAACCCTCCCAAATGTTCCCTGATGAGAGGGGTCCAGGATCCCGTAAACTCAGGAATGTGGGAGCTTCCGGAAGTCTGTTTGCCGCAATCATGGGCCTAAATGTCTCCTCTGCTGGTGAAAGCACTGCCCCAGGGCTGGCTTTTAACTCGGCTCCTGCCCTGTCATTGCTCTGCTCAGGTCTGCAAGTTTGAAGCTGTCAGGGAACAATGGCCCCTTTGCTGGCAGAGGGCTGGGCCGCCCACCCTGCGTCAGGGTGCTGGAGGACCGGCTGGCTTTGGGAGAGGGCATCGCCCTGCATGACGTGTGGAGTGGGGGCTGGGCAGAGCTTCTGCTCCGGGGCTTGCGCTTCTCAGGGAAGGCACCTCAGCGCAGGGTAGAAGGCAGTGGGCAGAGGTTGGGTGAGGCGTCTGCCCTCCTGGCCCTCCCTTCTCTCCCCAGCCTTCTTAGCTCTGGGGGATGGGGCAGGGAGGTCCTTGTGTGGGGCCTTGTGCGGGGAGGAGGCCTGGAGGAGGAGAATGGTCTGTGCTCCATCACCATTCCAAACAGAGGGCTGGACACCGAGCACATTACACATACATTTAATTGACACATTCCAGGGAGGGGAGGGAGGGAATCCTCACTCCCAACAGGCAGCTTATAAGCACTGTGAGACAGGGGGCCTGACAACCTGGCATGAAGATGGCCTGGGAGACCCAGACTCCCCATTTCTGCATCTGGAGGGAGGGAGGCAGAGCGGAGGGGGAGCCCGCAGGACACGCTGGATGTGGATCTGGAACGTCTCCGTGCTTTGGCCCCGGGAGCAGTCTGAGGACTGCCGAGAGGGCAGAGGCTGGCTCAGGGTGGAAACTGGGGTTCAGCCAGGATGCCAGGCTTCCTGGCAGCACAGGTGAAGGGGAGAAAGAGAAGGACCCGGGCGTCCAGGGGCGAGTGCACGAGGCCAGGTCAGTGGGTGAAGCTGCTTTCAGGACAGGGCGAGGGGGCGGGGTGGCTGCACTTAGTGTTTGTAGCTCTTCCGGCTGGAGGACGTGGTGGAGACGAACTTGACACTGGAGCCATTGCCCCCGAGGCCCCGGCTGCTACTGGCACTGAAGCCGGGGCCCCCCAGGCCTGCACCCAAGCTGTGCCCACCGCTGGTGGTGAAGGAGTAGCCACTTCCACCTCCAGTGCCGCTGCCACCGCCGTAGCCACTGGAAACAGTGGAGGTGACCACAGCTGCCGGAAGAGAGGTGTGGTCAGAATCAAGGGCAGGAGCGAAGACACCTGGGGTGTCAGGACCTGTACCCTGAAGTTCCTGGGGTAGAGACCGGGTGGTCTCCTCAGGCAGCTGTTAGCCTCCTTCTAATTTCCCCGCCCGTGTAGTGAGATCACCGTCCTGTAACTCCGCTTGGTCCTCTCCGGCTGCAGCTCTGGGTTCTCCCAGTCCGGAACAGCTTCCTGCCTCCCCTCCACACTCGGAGCCCTTCTCTTCCTTCCAGAGCTTAGTGGAGACTTCTCTCCTCTGCCAGTCCACCTGCCTTCCCCTCCGGTCCCAGCACACTCCCCACTGTTCTGTCTCCGTCTCCCACTGGGGGCCTGGCTCTGGTGTCTCCCTTCCTTCTGGAAGCTCAAAGCCTTGTGCTCTGAATCCCAGAGCGGAGCTGGAATATTCTTGATAGACCAGATGACAGACGACCCACTGGCCGGCCAACTCGGCCTCTACTCCTCCCCAGCCTGCTCGTTTTCTAACTTTTATAATCACCACCCCCTTAAACGTCTAGTTTCCTACTATGGGCTCTTGAGAAGGAAAATTGAAATAAAAAATAGACTCTGCTATGGGATGAATTGTGTCCTTCAGAAAAATATGTTGAAGTCATAACCTCCAGTATCTGTGAACTGTGACCTTATTTGAAACAGGATCTTGCAGATATAATCAAGCTCAAAGAAAAAACATTAGGGTAGGCTCTACTCCGATATGTTTAGTGTCTTTATAAGATGAGGAAAGACGTCCTTATGTGAAGAAAGACACACAAGGAAATGGCCATTTGATCACAGAGACCGAGATTGGAGTGAGGAGCCAGAAGCCAGAAGACGCAAGGGGGACCCTCCCCTAAGGCTCAGAAGGAGCCGGTCCTGGCACTCGGACGTGGGGTTCCTAGCCTGCAGAACTGGGAGACAACACACTTCTGTTGTTTGAAGCCACCCAGTCTGCATGCTTTGTTGTGGTAGCCCTTGGAAACCAGTGCAGACTTTTAGGTGCTTTCAAGAGAGAGGAAACTTAAGAGGTCGTGCCTCCCAGTCTCAAAATTAGCTTTGAGGATCCCTGGAGACGCTAGACAAAGACATCAAGGAAGGACACCTGGGTGGTTAAGAGGCTCTGCCTTCTAGAACCATCAGCCAGTATAATCAGCTGATTTTGTGAATCCCACACCGAGAACACTGAACTCCTGTGCAGTTAGTTGTAGAAGTCGTTTCTGTTGGCCTCAAGATGCCAGCACTGAGCCCTGAGGGACGCCTTCTGCTCTTACCGGGAGGGCAGGGCCAGCTCGCTAACGCCTCCTGCTTCTCGGGGCTGCCCCCACCTGCTGTGCCTTCCTGTGCGCTCAGTGCCTTGCAAACCCTTGGCAGCCTACCCTCCGCAGTCATAATCTACAGAGTTGAGACAAGCAGTGGGGCTCTTCCCAAATTGTTCTGGGAAGGAGCTGTCTGCAGGGCCATGCCCTGTGCGCAGCATGAAGGCTCCCTTCAAAGGCTGAGGGCAGACCAGGGGTTTTCAGAAATTCTGTCTGCATCGAACTCTCGTCTCTGAGCTAGACTTGCAGCCCCAGCAAGAACAAGGTGAAGTCCTGGGAGATGGGCGGTGTGGCCCGTGGGTCTCCAAACCCATGCAGAGGGAGTACAGCAAACCTCCATCGCCCCTCTGGGGCACTCTCACTTGCAAAGAGGTAAGTATTGTGACATTGAAGACTTTTCCTAATATGACTCTCTTTTTAACTAATTAAAAACCTCAAACCTCTCAAAATGAACCCTTTTGGTGGGATCCCCTCCAATGCCTCATGCATGCCCATCACCTCCCATCCCCCACTCACACTCACTCCAAATGGCACAAAGGATGTCATACTCACAGATGTTAACCGGAGAAACACCCTCTCCACTCAGCCTGATTGAAAGGAGAGGGGAGAAGGAGGTTATTGCTGGGTCCAGAAGCTTGTGGGCATTTGACATGATATTTCTGTAATTGTTTTAAATGAATTAAAACACCCTTTATTACTTTTATTGCAGAAATAGTGGAGGTTGAAATTATTTAAATACTAGTAGTATTAGAAATAATAATTGAATGAATGAAATAATGTGGAGTCTGAGGTTCACAGGAGTAAAATCTGTAATCCCAGAAACACATTTTTGGTGTAAACTAGGTAGATCCCTTATGAAAATGAACGCAGATCATATGCTGGTGTTGGCTGAAAAGGCGGGACTTGTCATAGAACAAGACATAGAATCTCTCCCAACAATGGACTCTTGTGGTGCACTGGGCAGTGCTGAGGTTATTATAGGTGTGGAGTGGAGCCTGAGTCATAAACATAACACTAGTAATAATCAGTCTATTATCGTGGTTGCTGCTAGAGGAATTTTGTCTTAGCATCGTGAGGACAGAACCAGCATTCATTTATAAACACATACTTAGAACATTAAAGGAGCTAACAAATATTGGGTACCTGTTACCTACATTCTGCCACTTAATTCTCTCAACAACCCCATTCAGTAGGTACTATTATCTTGGTTTTACAGATGGAGAAATGGAAGCTCAGACAGTTTAACTAGTTTGCCCATGGTCACAAAGCTGGGTTTGAAGCCAGATTCATTTGCTATCCAAGCACATGTCTTTGGCCACTAAGTTGTCTAGCATGCATTGTTTTCAGATCCTCATGTATAATCCCTATATTAACCCTCTTAAAAACATGAGCCAGAAACCATGGTTATCCCTGTTTTACAGGTGAGGACACTGAGGGATGGAGAGGTTAAATACTTTGCTCTGGGTCACACAAAACTCCCACTGAGCCCGACCATGTGACCTGGTCTATTCTATCATTGAAGACGCTGAGGGCCAGAGAGGAGACTTGCCTTGCCTAAGGTTACACAGCCGTTAGTGGCAGGCATGTCAGCCTAAATCGTAGGACCATTTATTCTCAGTCCAGAGTCTTTTATACCATATATCCAGCACTGCCGTGTGACCAAGTTTTTCCTTTGATAGAATTTGATTACTTAGACCTAGATTTCTATGGGGTGCCATAAGTTGTTGTATCTCAAACATGGGGATCTGAGAGTGATTCACTAACCTGGAAAAATAATCCACTCGTATTCTTTGTCATAACCCAATTCCACCTGCATTTTGCTCTCTTTTCCAGGTGAAGAGGGAGCTGCAGCAACCTGAGCCCCTGGGAATGGCCAGGCAGGTGGGATGGAGTTACTGCCTCTGCCCTCACCTGCACTCCTCGCCCTCCAGCAGCTTGCGGTAGGTGGCGATCTCCACGTCCAGGGCCAGCTTGACGTTCATCAGCTCCTGATACTCCCGAAGCAGCCGGGCCATGTCCTGCTTGGCCTTCTGCAGGGCCTCCTCCAGGTCCACCAGCTTGGCTCGTGCGTCCTTGAGGGCCAGTTCTCCGCGCTGTTCCGCATCAGCAATGGCCGTCTGCAGGCTGGAACACTGTGAGGAAAGGAAGAAGCCATGACCCCTACTGGTAGCCCCCGGACATGTGGTGCTTCTTGGCTGGAGTCTGCACACATGGCAGAACGACCCAGAAGAAATGAGTGCACAGGGAGTTCTTGGCCCTGCCCAAACTTTACCTGCTTCTTCATGTTGTCAATCTCGGCTCTCAGCCTCTGGATTATCCGGTTCATCTCAGAGATCTCTTGTTTGGTGTTTCGAAGATCATCGCCATGCCTGCCCGCTGTGACCTGCAGCTCCTCATACTGAAGGAACCAGAGCAGAGTCAGTCATCTCAGCCAATGCCTGGGCTGGCACTCCCTGTGTGCACAGCCTGCCCGCAGTGCCACCGCAGGCCCGCCACTCACTGCTCACACATTCCCTGGCTCATCTGTGTCAGGCGATGTTTCTTGAGCACATCTATTTGATGGGCAGGTACTAGGCTCTGGGAATATTATGAAGAACATAGACCCCTGCTTACAGTTTATTGGGGGAGATAGACATTATCCAAATCAGCATATTGTTGAAGATACAGTTCCAAACTGTTAAGCACCCCTTAGGAAATAACAGAATCCTACAAGAGTATAATTAAGGAATCTGACCTAGATATGGAAGTGGGGGTGACGATCAGGGAAGTCTTTCCAAAGATGGAGATGCTCGAGCTGTGCTCTGAAGTATGGGAGGGAGGGAGCTAAGTGACTGGCCAGGAGAGACCGTCCCAGACCAGGTGGGAAATAGCCTATTCGAGGACCTGGGGCAGGAAGAAGTGTGGTGAGCTCTAGGGGACTTGGTCCCTGGTCACAGAACATATATCCAGACCAATTGTGATCATGAAGAGTGGTAACCCTCGAGACACCAGTCTGGGGAAACAGGGATGACATGCAAGGAAATGGTGTTGGATGGAGCCGAGGCTGTGGAGAGCCCAGTTCTGAAGACTTTGTACCAGAATCTTCCATCTCAGGTAGCTCTCCATGTCATCTTGGTGCACGTCAAGGACACACTCATTTAGGAGAAATAAATGCACCTTGTCTCCTCAAGCAGACGGGAGTGAAGCCCACACCTTTCCCAACGAAAGCCGGGCCCTGCCTGAGCGAATGTCGGGCTTGAAAGTGCTGAATAGCTCAGCTTCTCTGTTTCTAGATATACACGGTCAAAGGGAACAATGGCGTCACCAACAAAAGAAATCATTTGCTATAAATTCCAACCCCTCCACTTGGGGGTTAAGTGTATTCCACGTCCACTCACCATCAAAGGTGCACCCCTGTCAGCTGACACCCTCTTCCTTCCCGCCCCCTGGCAGTGGTAGGGACTACGGCATGAGTGCAGAGCAGGCAAGGGATAGGAGCCAGCTTGTGGCTGAGCAGCTGCCTCCGAAAATTTGGCAGGGAGCTCTATCGGTTGGACTACTTTGCCTACTATACCCCTCCTAAGCCAGACCTTCTGGCCATCTGCAGTAGCTCTCTCTGGTTGTCCCAACCTCCTTCTTTCAGTTCAAACTCACTTACTCAGCAAAGTGCTAGTTTCCACCTTCTAGCCCCACAGATCTGCTGGCTTAGCCTTGAACACCTACCCGTTGTTGGCACTATTCTGTCCCTTGCTGCTTCCAAAGTGGACTGAAAACCCACCTGTTCTTGGAAGCTTTTGGTTTATGTTGTCTTTTTCCTTTTAAAGATTGTCCATTCACTTCATTGCCTCTCAGACCTTGGGTTCTGTTTGCAGTTTATTGATTTACAATTCTATAACCTGCTTGACATAGAGTAGGAGACGATCTGTAAACATGTATTGGATAAGAAAGCCCTTTACAAACAGCTTTATGACTGTTTCTTAGATGTTTTGGAGTCTCACCCAGCCACCAACCAGATCACAGGTGATGTGGGGACGGTGGCTGTCCTGAGCACCTAGCATCGCCTGACCGCACAACGGCATGTACGATTGGCTTTTCAAACGCATTTCATGCTAAGTTTCCATAGTAGTTATCAAAGATGCTTCTGCCAAGTTGAAAGAGATGGAAATGCTACATATTTCTGGAAACTGGCTAATAGTTAAAGGATGTTTGGGGGCTTCAGAGAACATGAACTATGAACCCTATCGTGGAGGTGCCCACACTCACCTTGGTCTGGTACCAGGACTCAGCCTCAGCCCGGCTGCGGTTGGCGATGTCTTCATACTGGGCTTTGACCTCAGCGATGATGCTGTCCAGGTCCAGGCTGCGGTTGTTGTCCATGGACAGCACCACGGACGTGTCGCTGACCTGGGTCTGCATCTGGGACAGCTCCTGTGGGGCCAGTAGACTTAGTGTCATCAAGGCATAGAAAGAAGGGATCTGGAGATCACGTGGTTGACCACTCCAGGTCAGGGAGCCCTCCTCTGGCTTCCTGGCAGGAAGTCTTCTGCTCTTCCCTGGGCACTCCCAGCATTTATGGGGTCCCGTGCCAATCCCCAAGAGGTGTCTGAGTCATAGATCAGTGTGACGGGACTGTGTCCCCAGCATCACTTCTCCAGACTCTCATTTTTGTGCTTTCCCTGAATATGAAGGGTGGGTAAGTGTCCTCTGATTCAAATTACAGGCAGCTGAATATGGCATGTATGGATTCATGAGCTGGCATAAAAGATTTCTTTAGGATCAAATGTTTTTAAGACCCTCCACCCATGCACAGTATGTCTTTAGCCCTTGCCGCTCCTCTCCCTCCTCACAGGCTGAAGCCTCTGCCTTCTGAGCGCCGGTGCCCAGATGGAAGCGTCCTCAGGGGCAAGAAGCTGACTCATGCGCTGAGGCAGAGCTTGCCTTTCTGAACTTTCCTGGGAAGGGGAATGGAGAGGTGGGCCTCGGTTCCTTGGGAATGTTACCCAGTAACTTGGGGTTCAAGAATCATCACTCCTTCCTTGTGAGGGGGATAAGCCTCACAGCTGGAGGAGGCTTTAGTGTGACAAGATTTCAAGCAGTTGTCCTGGGTCCCCCAACCTTCCAAACCCCAGCTTGGAACATCTGGGTCACAGTGCTGGGTGGGGAGTGGTGGGGGGATGTTGCTTTCTGCAGCATCCTTTTCTTTCCAGGGGCCAGACCTAGGAGGGGTCAACACATTTGCAGGCTCTTACTTCCTCATAGAGCATCCGCAAGAAGTTGATCTCGTCGGTCAGACAGCTGACCTTGGCCTCCAGCTCCACCCTGTTCATGTAGGCGGCGTCCACATCCTGGAACAACAGCATCGGATGCTCCTCAGAGACCCCGGCCACAAGCGGCAAGTCCAAGAGAAGCTGAGCAGACTCCTCCCTGGCCCTTCTAGGTTGGGTTTTAGCAAACTCTGCATCTGGGGTTGGGGGCGTGGGGGTGGGTGACTGCTGAGAACTGGAGGCCTGGCTTCCCTGGGCTAACAGAACCCTAAGCAGGGGCTGCGGGGCCATAATGCAGAGGGAGCATTTGGGCAGGTTTGAGTTCTTCAAATAGTCTCTAGGTTGTGTGACATTTCTTAGGTGGCCCAAGCGTTGGGTCACCCTACACTCCAAGATTCAGTTAGGAATCTTCTTTGAGAGACATTTCCACCCACCTTCTTCAGGGCCACAAACTCATTCTCAGAAGCAGTGCGCTTGTTAATTTCGTCCTCATACCTGTAAGCAGAGAGGGGGCGTGTATTGAGCAAGGTGTGAATGGAGCTTGTCCCAGGCTGAGGAGGAGGGTTCTGGATGCAACAATAGCTAGGAGACCTTGAATCTCCTCCAGCTCTTCTGCTAACCTGCGGTTGACTTTGGGTGATTCACTTAACCTCTATTTCTCCCTCTATAAAAGAAGAATAATTTCTTCTGCCAGAAGTTTTTTTCTTCTTCCTCCCTCTGTAAGACTAGAAGGTGGGCATGGAACTTATAGAAATAGAAATATGTATGTAGGCACCTCCATCTTCTTAGAGATGTATAATTCCAATCTTTAAAAAACGTTGCTGCCTTACGTGCCTGCTATAAACTTTGTTCGGGACACTGTTCCTGGTAGATTTCAGTAGATTTTCACTGTAACTCAGGACGGCCTTTGGAGCAGTGTGCGTTTAGTGAGTAGGTGTAGCTCTAACTCAGAAACCAAGGGCAAGGCAGCAAAGAGGTTGGTGAGGACCACCCCCTTTCACTGGGCACCTCACCTCCTGCAGCCTGGATAATAGCCCGTCCTCCAAGGAGGACCACATTGCCTCATTTATACACTAGTGTGCATCCTGGAAATGCAAGCCATCTCAATCACAGACATGCCCAGTGGGGTCAATAATATGCTGACCTTCAAATAATATTATGCTTTCCAGAGTAACAATATTCTGTCAGATGATACAGCATCCCTCTGTGGTTGCATAGACAGGTAAGAATCGGCTTCTTGTTCATAGTGATGCATGGGATAAGGGTACCTATGTTACCTCCCACCACGCTGTCTTCCTCTCATGGGATAATGACTAAAAATTCCAAACCTCCCGGCTGGTACTGGCATTTGCTCCTTTGCACGTCTATGGGACTCATAAAGAAGAGCCCTGAAATGACTGCGTGCGACCGGAAGCCCATCTCCCACTTACCTGACTTTGAAATCTTCTACTACGTCCTGCATGTTCCTGAGCTCGGCGTCCAGCCTGCCTCTCTCGGTGGTGACGCTGTCCAGCTGCCGGCGGAGGTCACTGAGGTAGGCGTCGAAGAAGGGCTCCAGGTTCTGCCTCACGGTCTTGGTGCCCTGCTCCTGCAGCAGGCTCCACTTGGTCTCCAGGACCTTGTTCTGCTGCTCCAGGAAGCGCACCTGGAGTGGGAAAGAGGAGAATGAAATCCTGAGACCCAGGGGAGGATTGAGAGTTAATAATGGAAAGAAGAAAAGTATGCTCTTCACTTGACACCCATATGTCAACTATTTAATCGACAACTCCAAGTCAAAATGAGAATGCCCCTGAAGTTACCCCGAGGTTCTCAGGGGCTTCTATAGAACTAGTGTAGTGGGGCGTAGAGGCCTCTGAGGGGAGCCTGTATTCTTGGGTTGACAGTCTGGACAATGCCTGTTCTGGGTTAGGTTAGTTAGCTTAGTGGAAACTCCCCCTGCAGAGAACAGCTCAACTTTCCCCAGTGTTGACTGAACCAGCCCACATGCTCCCAAGGAGAAAATGGAGAAATTTCCACAAGGTCCCTGGAGCAAGCTGCCCCCCCCCCCGCCCCCGGCAGGTACGGATAATCAGCTGTGCTCTCACAGGGGGGCCGTTGCCCTGCTGCTTCCCCTCTGGGCGGCCTCTCCAAGAGGTGCTGCCAGCCCAGCCCCGTGGAGCAGGTGCAGCTCCCGCCTCACCTTGTCGATGAAGGAGGCGAACTTGTTGTTGAGGGTCTTGATCTGCTCCCGCTCCTCTTTCCGCACTCGCTGGATGGTGGGGTCGATTTGTAGGTTGAGGGGAGTCAGGAGACTGTGGTTGACGGTGACTTCTTGGATGCCTCCAGGGGGGCAGACGGGGAAGCCAGGAGCCCCATAGCCCCCTCCCACTCCACCTCCATAGCCAAAGCCACTGCTGACCCCAAACCCACTGCTTGCCCTGCCACCAAAGCCACCCCGGAAGTTGTTGCTACTCCCACCAATCGAGACCCGCTTGGTCCCCCCTAGGTTGTAGAGGCTGCGGCTTCCAAAGCCGGCCCCTGGACCACTGATTCTTCCCAGCCCTCCGCTCCCCCCTGTGCTGCGGGCCACGGAGGCTGAGCTGAAGCGGGGACGCCCGGAGGCTAAGCCGGTGCTGAAGCCCCTGCAGCTGCTGGTCTGAAAAGTGACGGCGGACTGCCTGGACATGGTGGCGGAGAGAGGGGGCAAGAAGAGCTCCTGTGTGGGTGCGTGTGAAGGGGGATGGAATAGACAGGGTATCTGGGGAAGCCCCAAGACCCTTGGCTTTTATGGGCCCCCGGGAGGGGCGGGGCAGTGCCCATGGAGGCCTCTGATGGCATCTCCGAGGCATTTGCCAACCCTGAGCTCACACTCGGCTTCCCTCTGGAAACGGTGTACGAGCCACTGGTTGGTTCCCCGGCACGCCTCCCCCACGTGGAAACTGCTTTCCAGTTGCAACTTGATCAGCAGATGAATGAGAACTACATTAATTGCTTTCAGTCATGTCTTAATTATGCATCTTATAATGGATTCAAGAAACACTGCCTCATTTCCAAACCGCTTTCTTAGGCCTGGGACTGACTCCCTCCTGTCCAAACATCTTGTGTCATTACAAGGGACTGCGACGGACTGTTTCTTGTTCCTTCTTATCCCTTCGCTGTGCTTCCCATCCCAGTGCGTTTTCTCAGTTATTGTTGCCAGCCCCCTCCTCCCACCACGCTGTCCCTCCGGATCTTGAAAATCCTGCTCTACACGCATCTTTCCCAGAACCCACCCAGTTTTGACTGCACCTTGGATTTACTCGTGAGCTGCCATCTCTGTAGTTCAGGTCACAGAATATTCTGGAGCATGAATGTGCGCGTGTGCCCCGCCCATCCACTGCAACGTGGCCGACGACTGCCTACCGTGGAGAGAGGAGACAGACAGGGTTGAACCCCAGGTCTGCCGTGTACTTGTCGTGAGAACTTCAGCCAGTCACGAACTTCCCTGAGCCTTCGTTTGGGTGACGAGCCTTCTTGTGTGAAAACAACGTTTGCAACGCCTCGGCCTTGTGAGGGCTGAGTAGATGTTGAGTCCTCTCTCCTCTGACATTATCAGCGAGTACAAACAGTGCCAGTGGCGTGTCCATCCCACGGCAAGTTTGAAAGAAGAACAACACGCATTCTTTTTCTTTTACAGCGGACTCGCGGTCTTGCTGGGAAGACAACGCTGAAGCCCATTAGGTAATGAAGAGGTGGTAGGTAGACAGCAAAGCCCCACCTTCCAGCTCTGTTTGAGGCTGCTTTATTCCAGACATCTCCCAGACTGGTCACTCCTCCTACTGAGGGCCAGGGGTCCCCACCCTTTAATCCTTCATCAAAGAGCTCCAGAGGTTGCACCAAGTAGAGGGTTTTTTCTTTTTGCCCTGGTAGTCTTGTTGACTGTGCCCTCCCTCCCCCATCTGGCTAAAACTGAAGCGTCTACAGGGCTCCTGGTTCCCCTTTTATCTGCCTCTCATCTCCCCATCTCTAGCCTGGGGGAGTCCGACAGAGACATGGTTAGATCTCCTTTTATCTTGCTCACTCTTTGCAGTGGTTTTGAAGGATGGCAGTGAAGAGGAACAGACATGTGTTCAGTCTCCCTTTTGTGGATGAGGACACTGAGTTCCTGAACAGTGAAGCAAGCAGGTGGATACTGCCCAGCCAGTGGGACGCAGAGCGAGAGTCCACGGTCCTGCCACAGAGCTGCCCTGCAGAGGCACACGGCGACCCCCGGGCTGGCCACTTGGAGTGGCGGATCTCTGCCGTCTGAGCTATTTCCTCCTAGGAGCCAGCCAGGGGGTGGGCCTCTGCTCCACTGGGAGATTGTTTGAGAGTCTCCGTTTCCACGGGGAACCTCTGAATCATAGCTTTTGTTGATACAGGCCAAGAGGAGCACGGGAGTTCTCTCACCTGCTGGCCAGCGCTCCCGGGTCCTAGCTGGGGTGGTGCGTGCGTCTGGGTGGAAAGAATAATTGTCTTTGTTTTCAGGACTCCTTGCAGGATTACCTTTCTCCCAGAAGAAGGAACACTTGTTTCCTGAGCCATGCTGACTAAACCCCGCAGAGCCTCCCGTGAAACAGAGTGGAGGCCGGGGAGCGCCTCAGCGCGCCTGCCTGTGGGGACGGAGCTGCCACAGCTGTCTCCCAGCAAGCATCCCGGGGGGAAGCTGGCTCCACCTGCCTTTCCTCCTGGGCCACCCCCCCGGCCCCGGGGCCTGGGGCCTCAGCACTGCCTTCCATCCTTTTCCATTCTCGCTTCTCTCGGCCTCCGCTCGCTCGCTTTTCCACCTAGACTGGTGTTTCCAAAGCAAGACTGTCTCACTCACTGACTTCTGTGAGGTAGATAGGAATTGATAAGTCTTTTACCTCCCTGTCTTCCTCACTCCCTCTTTTGGGACCTTTGACCGTCTTTGCCACCTTTACTGTAAAGGACAGAAGAAAGACTTCTTTTTTTACGCTTTTCCCCACAATTTATGAGAAGCACCCGGTAATTAAATGCGGAGATGGTGGGTGTCTGTAACTTCAAACTGCCTTTCTGTCCAACTGAAAGGGGCAGGAAGGATATTAGAATGAATAGAAAATATTAGAAGAGTAAGAAAACCAATCATGGTGCGGCACTAGCCATAGTTAGAAAGATGTGAATCACCCTTTACAGTGTTGGTCGTGATTGTTTCGTTCTGACTGAGGAAAAGCCTTTTTTAGGCTGGCTGGAGCTGTGGTCCTCGGAAGCTGACCTCTGGAATGCCGTCCGTTCCCCTGACCTGAGGACAAGGGGGGCCACCTGCACCCTGGAACACTGGACCGTGACTGCGACTCACTGGTGACCAGCCGCGGCCCACATTCCTTCTCTCCTTTCTCCTGGCGTATTTTACAGGCTCCAGAAGAGATGATAACAAACCTCCATGGCGCATCTGCCCTTTACTCCCCAAAAGCCGCCAGTATGAGAGCAACTCACTCTTTCTGCTCAGCCCTGTGTTGCCAGTCAGGGCGTAGGTCCTGTCCCTGGCTGTGGGGAGTGAATACACGTCCTCCCTTTTCTCTCTTCTCTGTTGTGAATTCCTTCACAAGCCCGGGTCCCCAGCCCCAACACAACCTGACGTTTCGCAAGGTGGACAATGTCTACATGGACACCTCGACCTGACGACCTGGGTCACTACCGCCTTTAAAACCCGGACACTCGAGACTGTGAGCGCCTTCTTCCTTCCTGCCCAGGGGGTTTGAGCTTTGATTTTAACCTCCATTATTTTTCTACTTAGAACCCACCCCCAAGAAGCCTTCTCAGGTGGACGGTGCCCAGGCACCAACCCCTGATGCCCGTTCCCCGACAAGACTGTGCGCGGCTGGCACGTAGGTGCATTCCCCACCTGCCCTGGTTTCCTGGCGGTCTGAGTGTGACTTCACCCCTGAGGGTGAGGGGTGCTTCACAGATGGAATTGTGGCAGAAGTTGACTCGACACAGTTGTCTAACTTAAAGAAGAGTGATGCATTTCTTTCTGTTCTCTAAATCTCCCAAGTCTCCAACTTTGTGTGGTGGGGTTTTTCCGGGAGGCGTTTTCTAGAGGTTTTGGGGAGTGGTGGGTTCAGGAGCGATGGTATGTGTCCTGGTGCCCAGGGCTGGGAGTGCCGCTCTTTGGTTTCCTTGTTCCCTACCCATCCTGCTCAGGGAGGTCTCTGCCATCCCCAGAGGAACCCCGAGGCCTTCGGCTGTGGTGGATCTCAAGGAGACTGGGCCAGGTGGAGCCAGGGCTGTGGAGGGTGTGAGGAGAGGAGGCATGGGGGTAGGCCTCTCAAGGCCGAGGGAGTGGGGAGGGCACCACGGAGCTTCAGCTTCCAGCCAGGTCCAGGCCAGAGGAGAGCAGGCTGGACCAGGACAGAAGGAATTAGTAAACCCCTAGAGCAGGCTCGCCCACCGCACAGAGCAGGGTCCCTATGCGCAGAGTCTAAGGCCCCAGGCCCCAGCCACTCACCCCAGTCCCTCAAAAGCTGGATCCCCCCAGACGGCTCTCTCCAACTATCTGGGAGAGTCCTGTCTGTAGTTAATAAATGTTTATTAGCAAATACTCTGTGCCAGGTGTTCACTGTTCTGCACAGGCGGCAGAGCACCGAACGGGCAGACGGGGCCTCCCCTCCTGGCGCGCACACTGACAGGGAGGGAGGCCCTTGGGGGCGCAGTCACGGCCTGGGTCTCCCGTTCACAGCTCCCAGGCGCTGAGTGTAGAGAGGACAGTTCTTCTGTGCTGAGACCTGAGACTCTCACACAGGAACCTTTCAGCCTGGACTATTCACGTCAGGGCAGCAGACTTCCTCAATATTTGGCATCTCGAGGTGCACCCAGCCTGCCTCTGTGGGGTCAGGCCCTCCACCTCATGGACCACTTTGTTGTTCCTGGACTCAGTGGCAATACTGCTCCCCAACGGGACTGAATGTGCCCACTGATCTCAAGAAGCCACCAGGAGTCAGGACTCAGGACATGTACTTGCACATGGCCAGACCTCACCTGATCCACTCCCTTTGCCACTGATATAACCAGGTGTTTCACTTGGGCCCAAATTTGATGAGCAGGTGTAGAGCCTTGTTCAGTTGGGCAGGCAACCCTCAAGTCCCCTTCGGTCAATTTTAGCAGCAAAATTGGGTGCTTTTTCTGTCCAAACGTGTGTTTAAGAGAAGCAAGATGGAGCAGCCCCTTCCCTCCATGGCCAAGTCCTTCAGACACATCCAACAGGCACGCAGGTGCATGGACGCACATGTCTTAGGAACCTTCACAAAACAATGATCCGCACACGAGTGTTGCCGACTGGGTGCACAGGACAGAGAAGAAAGCAAAGCAGCAGAAACAGTGTTTTAGTGCCTGAAGGAGCCCTTAGAAGTGGCTGTTTGGTGGCTGAGGCTGAGCTCCTGATGCCCACATTTTCCCCAAGCCTCCCCTGCATCATAGAGTCCAGGGAGAAAAGCTCCCCATTGCCTGGGAAACACAGTCGGTGCCCCTATAGAGAGAGGGTGGGTGCAATGCCAGCATCTCAAGGGCCCTTATGTTGCACCCCCACAGAAAGCTACTAAAGGAATTTAGACAAGAGGGCTCCAGGTGCATCTGGGCCAGTCACCTCTGACCTCTTCAATGGCCTCATTTGTTCCCAGGATTGGAGCATTTCACCAAGTCTCCCTGGTTGGT